CGTTTTCTATAATCTTTTCCCAACGTTCTGGCAGCATACAGATGCCTCGATCATAAAAACTGCGCGGTTTAGATTCGAAGAACGAAGAGACGCCGTTTTTTAAGGCCTCCAAAGAGTCAAAGTTTTTTCCATTTAAATAATTTTGCAATGACCGGAACAAGTGATAATCAGATGGTGCGATATCAGGAGAATACGGTGGATGCGTTAAGACATTCCATTTCAGGCTCTTCAATTATCAATGATATATGGCCTTTCATTACATTCTCTAAGTTTCAATTGTTAATTGAACAATTCCTTTCACAAGTCAAAGATTAACATGCTGATTTGAAACATAATGCAAAAAGCTCGAAAATAAATGCGAAGCAGAAAAGAGATTAACAATGAATGATTATTATTTAATATGCAACTGACATTAACATGGAATGTCTAATTGACTTAATGTCTCGAAGCTACTGAATATGAATTTATGTTCAAATCTCTTCCTTTCTGTAGGAGGTTTTTGGCTATTTCGGTTACTTTCCTCTACATTTATATTGATGAGTTGAAGCACTTGTTTCTACGAGATGTTTAAAATTCGGCTGACTTTACGAGTGTTAACACTCGTAGCTGGACCTAAGTAAGACTTACGTTTAAGCGAATGTTCTCTTGAAACTGAAAACATTAATAATAATAATAATGATAATTATATTTCTATTTATCTTTTTTTCTATACTATCTAACTATCTATCTATCTATTTCTCTATATCTATCTATCCATCTATCTATTTATCTATCTATCCATCTATCTGTCTATCTATTTATCCATCTATATCTATCTCTATATCTATCTATCTATCTATTTATCCATCTATCTTTTTTCTTCCTATGTATCATTGCAACCTATCCTGTTCTATCCATATTTCTTGCAAATGCAAACAATTAATATTACATTAATTTTTATATTAAAATATATTTTTTGTACTATAACATGCTGAATTAATAATTAATAAAATTCAACAGGTTATACTATAAAAACAAACACTTACGTAAAAAAATTATTATATTATTAAAAAGTTTGCATTTATTTTTTGACGGAGATCACCATTTTCTCGCGGTTTCCGTTGAGCAACAATATGCACGTTATCTATTCGTAAAATTAAATAATAAAGTAAAATTAAATAAAAGTAAATAATAATAATTGAAATATGATAATAAAACTAATTTCTTCTTTTACTAGACTAAATTTATTTTTGCTACGAAAAGAAAAGTATAACAATGGAATATCTTTTACAAAACAAATAACATTTCATTTAATTTTTAATTTAAATTTATTAGCATAAATAAATTATTCTGTCATATACTTTAATAACAAATCATTTTTAAAAGATGTATATATTGGCTAAGAGTGGATTCCTATTAACTTTTCGTCTCTCATTATAATTCTCTCTTCTTTATTTGTGCATTAATACTAAATATTCTTTATATACATATACACTATATGTGTCATTTATTTATATATATACACATATATATATATATATTCTCATGTAATTAATATATTTAATCAAGCCGTAAGAACACGAGAAGACAGGAAGAGCGAGCAAGTGCGCGAGAGAGAGAAAGAACGAGCGAGAGAGAGAGAGAAAGAGCGAGGTACCAGGTGTGTCGGTAATTCCTTTCCGGTTTTTTCGCTAAAGAAAACACGTTATTTACAATGGATAGTTAAAATATATTTATTCAAAGTATTGGCCGTTTGATTCTATACATTTTGTCCATCTCTCAGGCAATTTATGGATGCCATTCCAAAAGAACTGTTTCTCCTTTGAGCTAAACCATTCATCGAGCCATTTTTTAACTTCTTCGAAATCGGCGAAGTACTGCTCTGCAAGCGCGTGCTCCATCGATGCGAAAAGGTGGTAGTCGGATGGAGCCAGGTCTGGAGAGTACGGCGGGTGCGATAAAACTTCCCATCCAAGTGATTTCAACACTTCTTTGACTGGTTTTGCTGTATGAGACGGCGCGTTGTCATGCTGCAAAATCACCTTATCACGTCTTTGAGCGTATTGTGGACGTTTTTCGATCAATGCACAGTTCAAATTGATCATTTGTTGTTGGTAGCGATCAGTATTAACTGTTTCTCCAGGTTTCAACAGTTCATAATATACGACACCAACCTGGTCCCACCAGACACAGAGCATGGTCTTGCGACCAAAGCGATTTGGCCTTGCAGTCGATGGGTCGCCTTTGCCAGGTGATAACCATGACTTTTTCCGCTTGGGATTTTCGAAATAAATCCATTTTTCATCACCCGTTACTACTATTCGATGCAGAAATGACTTCCTTTCATACCTTTGAAGCAGCATTTCACTGACGATTTTTCGATTTTCCAATTGTTTGTCATTCAATTCATGTGGCACCCATCTTCCCATCTTTTGGATCTTTCCCATCGCTTGTAATCGTTCACAAATTGCTACTCGGCTCACATTCAACTTTTCTGCCAATTGTTTTTGAGTTTGTGTTGGGTCTTCATCCAATAACTCCTTCAATTCCGCATCTTCAAACGTTTTCGGCCTACCAGGACGTTTTTGTGTTAAACGTTGAAATCATCACATTTGAATTGTCGAAACCACGTTTCACATGTTCTTATGGTTGGAGCATGCTCACCGTAAGTCTCTACCAGCAAACGATGACTTTCAGCGGCTTTTTTTTTTGATTAAATAAGAAAAGTAATGCGTGCCGCAAATGCACGTTTTCAGGCACAAAACTCGACATTTTCAAAAAATTATTAATCTATAACGCTGTTATTTTGGCGGAACGTAACTTGTGTAGTTTTGAGGTTAATGTCAGTAGAATAAAATGACATATGTATCAAATCATAACATTGCATACTTATGGCTAGTGACATCTGTTACAAAAACCGGAAAGTAATTACCGACATACCTGGTATAGGAGTAGCGAGAAAAATCTCGCGGCTCACGCAGTCAATAAGCTAGACGAGCGGGAAAGAAACAGATAATATGTCGACGCTCGTCTAGTTTCCAATGTGCTACCTCGCGTGCGTGAAAAATAATTCCTCGCTTCGCATGTTCCCTTGACACGAGACGCTACCGCGTCTTTTGATGTCTCTGGAGCGTGAAAGCTGAAAGAAAAGCGGAGAGATGTTCGTTTAGCGATAAGATCGCCGCTACCTCGCCTCGTGTTTACTGCCGCGCGCCGCTCAGTAGTGAGACAAAGACGGAACGATTGTCTGTCGTCTGTCTTTTTCTAATCTACTATCTATTGCATTGAAGTAGTACGGACACGAACCTAGGCGCATTTTACTTTTATCACCGCGAAAGTGCGCCTAGCGGACGTAGTTTAGGCGCATTTTGGTCAGATGGCGCATCTAAAATGCGCCTAGCTGTATCCCCCGAAATACGGCCGGTGGCCGCTCTCATTCTTCTCTCTGATATACATATTTTTTTAGTTTTATAAAATTAAACTGTACAAATATTGGAAAACGTGAAAAAAGCTATAGAATTTAAATGACTCGTGTGATAATACAGTTTTTCCATTTATTAAATTTTTAATTTATACAGATTGTAAAAACTTTGAACAGATGCGGAACAGATAATAGATTAAACTTTGTCAGAGATAACAAAGGTGTCTTAATTTTTTTGAATTGGCAAATACTATTATTTGCTAAAAATGTTCAAATCTTTTATCTTTTAGTTATTACTTGAAATCTACAATATTAGATACACTTTGCGCCTTTTATTTTCCAATATCCCGTATGATTATGCTGCTTCTCGAATATTTTATGCGCCGGCCCTGCACATCGTTCGATTTATCATATTTGAAATAATCAGAACGATTTTTTAAATAATTCTATGAGTACATTTATGATGACAAATCTCGCCTATCGCCCCTTCATGGCATATCAGTACTTCATCGACGATATTTCTGATGGACTGCTCATCAATTTTGATCATTACGATACGAACGTACACTCGTGAACTAGAAGGTATGTGCACCGATTTTTTGTTGACTTCGGAACGCGCTCCAACTTGAAAAGAAAGACAACCACTGCTTCATACGTCAGCGCTGTCACTTATTACGAGAGTAGAAGGATGGCATATACAAGTGTCAAATAAGTAGTGATTGTAGCGTAGACACAAATATCTTGGAGACTTTGAGTTATAATTGAAGAAATGAAGAAAACAAATAGTGATTGTGAAGAGAAGTGACAAAAGGCTTCATAAAATTTGTAAAACAGCATATTAAAGGAGAGTATTAATTGTCTAATAATATTTTAAATGAAAAATATTTTTAAATTTGAGTGTAAGTTAAAAAAGTTATAAACCATAATTTCTTTAATGTTAATAAATTTGTCATCGACGTTGAATGAATATATATATAATGCTATTATTTCCATAGGTGAGAAATTATATTATTGTGTTCAGCAGAAGTAAGCAGCAGACCAAGTTGAGTGATATGAGTATCTTGTTAAAAAAATATTACTCGACTTGGTGTGCTGCTTATTTTTTATGAGCGCAATAACATAATTTTCCACCTATGTAAATGATAGCATTACATACATATTCATTTAACGTCGATGGCAAATTTATAGCTATAAAATTATTAACATTAAAGAAATTATGGTTTATAACTTTTTTAACTTACACCCAAATTTAAAAATATTTTTCACTTAAAATATTATTAGACAATTAATACTCTCCTTTAATATGTTGTTTTACAAATTTTATGAAGCCTTTTGCCACTTTTCTTCACAATCACTATTTGTTTTCTTCAATTATAACTCAGTCTCCAAGATATTTGTGTCTACGCCACAATCACTACTTATTTAACACTCGTATATGCCATCCTTCTGCCTCGTAATAAGTGACAGCGCTGACGTATGAAGCAGTGGTTGTCTTTCTCCTCAAGTTGGAGCGCGTTCCGAAGTCAACAAAAATTCGATGTGGAAACACGTACTGATTTGTGCGCAGGCGCAAGAATCAAGCAACGACGACATGAAGAAAGAGCATAGTATCCTTGTCCTTAGTTCTCCTGTAGTGGCCGGTTCGAGAAGAGCTGCCACAAGGGGAAATTTGTCTCGCCTTCCAATAAGCGCCTGCACCCTTCGCAAGAACACAAGCATCAGCGGACCGCTAATTCACTCACCATGTCGTACTGCACGCGAGTTCTTCGCGCACAGGTAAAGAAAAGGGAAACAGACCTGTGCATCAATATCGACACGGCACGCGATGCACGCGTGCCCCGAATTTTCCTCACCCCGTGGGCTCTCTACCTTAGCGTGCAGAGGTCAATATCGACTGACCTCTGCTGACACTAGACAGTCTTCGAACCTTTTAATATTTCGGAACCACATTGTGGCTGATTAAAATTGGTTTAAAGCACGCGAGAGAGATATCCTTACGTCTCGAGTGGCTCTCGAATTTTTACAACGAGGAAAATCGATTAGCGCAGGACGAAGAGTGCGAAACATACGTGCCGATGTCCAGTATAATTGCAAAAGAGTATCACGAGACGCGCGAATAAAACGCATGACGATTTGAATAGATTCCAAGGTGAAGAGCACCGCAAGATAAAAAATAGAGGAATGTTACGTAACTGTGAGCTAAATTGCACGTATATCGGTCATTTTTCAAGGTTGTTATTGTAACGCAGGTGCGGGAAAAGCAGAGCATTTAAATTAATATTGACGTTACTGCGATTAAAGTGTCCAGATAAAGTACGCGTTTGGTGATAACGGTTGATAACGTTATTTAATGATAAGAACACACAACGAGAGATTTGACGCGAATGCATTTTTATCGAGTGTTACTGCGTACAAAAGTATACCTTGTTTGTAAAATAATTTGTTTGGACATTCATCTGGATACATTCGTTGAAGCATCGAAGCGATCACTTCGAATGTAATTAACGTCACGTATCTAATTACGTAATTATGATTCAAAATAAGAAGCATCGTGCAATATACAATAAATTCAATTGGCCGTATGTCGACGATATTTTTATCTTCGATCAAGATCTATGACTTTGATATGTATATAAAAAAAAAAAACATTTGATTTCAGAGACTGTCTGCTCTTGCGGCAGATATCCAGCAACGATGCTTCAGCGCAAGCCCTTTGAGTTTCGCTGCTGCAAAAGTTGCAATGTCCAAATTCGACTCGGACAGCTATCTTCCGTATGACAAATTAGAGGAAAATCTTAAAATTGTCAAGAAAAGGTAAGACACACCGTCCTAATTCAAATATATTCGAATTTTTACTTTCAGAAATTTTTTTTTTAGAGGACATCCAGTCAAATAGTACGTACAGTAGTAAACAATTTAAAAATCATATCAGTCTACGGTTATTTTTAGACATTTGCATTATTTGTGACAGAACTCAAGCCAAGAGAACATGTGTATTCTAAATGAAATAAATTTATCAGTGAAATGTCTAATCGTTGTGCGTTGACTAATTGCTCTTTCAGATTGAATCGGCCACTGACCTTATCCGAGAAAGTTCTTTATTCGCATCTCGATGAGCCCAACAATCAAGATATCGTCCGTGGTACTAGCTACCTCCGATTGCGGCCGGATCGAGTTGCTATGCAAGATGCAACCGCACAAATGGCTATGTTGCAATTTATCAGCTCCGGTAGGACCGCGCCATTTTAGTCACCACCTATCGAGAGATCTCTCCGATCTCTATGATATTAACTTAGTAAGTTATCCCTCTTTCTTTCAGGGTTGCCGAAAGTTGCAGTGCCTTCCACCATACACTGCGATCACTTGATCGAGGCTCAAATCGGCGGTGACCAGGATTTGAAGCGTGCCAAAGATATTAATAAAGAGGTTTACAATTTCCTGAAGACCGCAGGCGCCAAATATGGTGTTGGCTTTTGGAACCCGGGTTCTGGTATCATCCATCAGATCATCCTTGAGAACTATGCCTTCCCGGGTCTTCTAATGATCGGTACCGACTCTCACACTCCGAACGGAGGTGGTCTAGGGTGCTTGTGCATTGGCGTTGGCGGTGCTGATGCCGTGGACGTGATGGCGAACATCCCGTGGGAGCTAAAGTGCCCCAAAGTAATTGGCGTGAAGCTGACCGGAGAACTGAAAGGCTGGACCAGTCCCAAGGACATCATTTTGAAAGTGGCTGGCATTCTCACTGTCAAGGGTGGCACCGGCGCCATCGTCGAGTACTTTGGCCCGGGTGTCGACAGCATCAGCTGCACCGGAATGGCCACCATTTGCAACATGGGTGCTGAAATCGGCGCCACCACCTCGATCTTCCCATACAATTACAGAATGCAGGATTACTTGAAGGCTACTAGCCGCTCCGAGATCGCTGGAGCCGCTGATCAGCACAAGAACAGCTTGTTGACGGCTGACCCCAACGCCAAGTACGATCAAATTATCGAGCTGGATCTGTCGACTTTAGAGCCACATGTGAACGGGCCCTTCACGCCGGACTTGGCTCATCCAATCTCCAAACTTGGTAATTGGATCACTCAAACAGAAAATGCCTACTTGTTTTACTCATGCCTCTATGGAGGTGTATATTCTCGTGATTATTAGGTGAGAATGCTAAGAAGAACGGCTGGCCAAACGAGATCAAAGTTGGCTTGATCGGTTCCTGCACCAATAGCTCCTACGAGGACATGGGTCGATGCGCGAATATTGCCAAGCAAGCTCTGAAGCACGGCCTGAAAGCGAAATCTGCGTTCAACGTCACTCCTGGCTCCGAGCAAATCCGCGCGACAATTGAACGTGACGGAATCGTGAGTCTTCCATTCTTGTTCTCACAAGAGAAGCTTTAAGCCCGCGCCGCGCAAGCTATGCCGTTATCTATACGGTGTCGGCGTTTGCGATTCTTTCAGGCCCAAACTCTTCGGGAATTCGGAGGTACAGTGCTAGCCAACGCCTGCGGGCCCTGCATTGGCCAATGGGACCGCCAGGACATCAAGAAAGGAGACAAGAACACGATCGTTACGTCATACAATCGAAACTTCACAGGACGAAACGATGCTAATCCGGCTACACACGCGTTCGTTACCAGCCCCGAACTTGTCACCGCGTTATCCATCGCAGGTCGTCTCGATTTCAATCCGGTCATGGATAAGCTGAAGGGCAAGGACGGAAAAGAGTTTCTCCTGGATAACCCGTACGGTTAGTTAATAATAATTTGAGTGATCGCAATAAAATTGCATATATAGTTGGCACTCTAAATACGCGTGTGCGCAATATTAAATAAATATATATTTATTAATATATGTTTCGACATATGTTTATAAAGGTGACGAATTGCCCAACCGCGGCTTCGACCCTGGCTTGGACACTTTCGACTCGCCACCGTCGGACGGTTCCAAGGTTAAAGTTGACGTAGACTCGAAGAGCCAAAGATTACAATTGCTAGAACCCTTTGATAAATGGAACGGCAAGGACCTGGAGGATCTGACAGTCCTGATTAAGGTCAAAGGCAAATGCACCACGGATCATATCTCCGCGGCAGGTCCGTGGCTCAAGTATCGTGGGCATCTCGATAATATTTCCAACAACATGTTTATCGGGTAAGATATATTGATTCTAAAATAAAATCACAGCAGTTATCGACGACGATAATAGCGAAAGCTTTATCTGATAAAAGTTCTTCGAGGCGTATTGTATGATCGCTTTGCTTTCTAGCGCTGTCAATGCTGAAAATGGCGAGGTGAACAAGATCAGAAATCAGGTGACGAACGAATGGGGTGCCGTTCCTGACGTCGCCCGCGATTACAAAAAGAAGAATGTAAAATGGGTGGCGGTAGGCGACGAGAATTACGGTGAGGGTTCCTCCAGGGAGCACGCTGCCTTGGAACCCCGCCACTTGGGTGGCCGTGCTATCATCGTCAAAAGTTTTGCTCGTATTCACGAGACGAACTTAAAGAAACAAGGTCTCTTGCCCTTGACCTTCTCGAATCCTGCGGACTACGATAAAATCCAGCCTTCCGACAAGATCAGTCTTCTTGGGTTAAATGATCTAGCGCCTGGCAAGGTTCGTAAAGTATCTCCCTTGTAGAATGTCAAGATAAGAGAAGGCAAACTTCTCCGAATCGGATATTATACTACGCTCTGTTTCATTTTCATTCATTCGATACGAACCTTACAGCCGGTGAAAGCGCAAATCAAGCACAAGGATGGCAAGGTCGACACCATCAGCCTAAATCACACGATGAACGAACAGCAGATCGGTTGGTTCAAAGCCGGCTCCGCGTTGAACCGTATGAAGGAAATTTCCAGCAGACGATAAGCCAACCACCCATACTCGACAGAATTAGCCAATAGCCGTAACGCGTGACGCATTTGTGGAAATGGAACAAATATGCCACAGAATGGAGCAAATCTGATTAGGGTGTCTGAAGTCGTCATCGCGTTTTGGGTAAGCGATACCTAGATGTCTAGATGTAACCCAACACGTACATTCAGGGAGTACATCATAAAGGTATCTAAAAGACATTTTTATGGGTCCCTCGTGTGATTGTCTGGGGAGATCTTGACTTTTATCTTTGACCAGCGCGTGTTGCCGCAATTTGACAATACTATTCTCTTTTATGGTGCGGCAGGGATGACTCGAAATCAGAAACTCTGATAAATGCGATCTCCATTCTATGGCATGCCGGCGTAGTTATAATCATAGATCAAACGTATCGGCCTGAATCATGCCGATGCGCTCATGTACAGCTCAACATGTTGTTATATGTACATATTTATCACAAACATGCTCTTTAGCTATCATTTACCAGCTGTTGACGGGTTTTAGAACAGTGTACCGTCACGTTGTTAATGAGGACAAATAAACTATTAGGCAGTGAATAATATATTCTTAATTGTGTACAAGCACCCTTGTTAGTTAAGTACTCTTACAGGAATGTACATGTCGCTCGAGGACGAAGCAGTACAATGTAGAATTTAATTAATATGGCGAAATAAAGGACTTATTTCGGATAAAGATATATTGCAGACACACAGGGGTAGTTAAAGAGGCGAAATCGTTCCTCGGCGATAATGATCTATGGAAACTGAAAAGTCTACCGTAATTACCGATAGACTGTTCATTGCGTCTGTAATAGGCAAGCTAATTATTAATTATTTGATGTAAGAGTATATATACCAAAGAAATGCCATAGTCTTAACATTTTAACGAAAATTACTCGTACGCATAATGCGTAAAGCGAAAAATTGTAGCAGAGAGACGCCGATAAATTGTGCTTACATTCATGTACGCTTGAGGATATTTATCCTAGAAAATGCTGAATAAATATACATTATGTGTATATTAAATATATAAAATATTTATATATTTTAATAATAACAACCGAGAATGTTGAAATACACAAGTGATGTCTGTACAATAAAAGTCTTATGAAGAAGCAAAGGACGCTCACATTTTTAATAGGAAAAGTATGAACTTTCTAGTTACCTCCAAAATGAGTATTTACACTGAAAAACCATCAGAGTAAAATATCGAAAAATGGTAATATTTACGACACCATGCGGCACACAACATGCGTCGCTTCGATACACGCGCGTCGTTTCCATGGTAACAGCATGTAGTTTAGTGGCGTACACAGAGAGCAAAACGGTCGTGCTTTTTCGAGTCTCTCGGTTTATCTACGTTTCATTTGTCAAAGGTTTGAATAAGCAACGTTGTTTCCATCGGTGGACATGTCAGTGGAAGGTGAATTTTTTCTGTCTGTCACGGGCTCCATCGAGCACGCTGAATTCTATGATGTCAACAATGCGTACTGCAAGTACGGCTTTCATTTTGGGCCGGAATGGAGCGTGGTCGCGGTAAGACGATAAAAATAGAAGCAAGAGTCAAAAGGAGCAATAAAATTGTATTGCGTTTGCCACGGAGAAATCTTAATAGCCTAAAGACCTATTCTCCTTGTGGTTATATTAGATTACAACGTCAGAAAGACGAACATTATCTTCAAGAATTAAGGTCGCGCAATTTCTTTCGCTACACACTCTTCTGTTTAAATATAAACATATATGTGAGAAACGTAAACAAATTTTATGATTTGCGAAAGCGCACGAGTAGGTTTTTCTTACAGATTTATTCCAATAAATTAATTCTAAGACGAGAGGGAGAGAGAGAGAGAGAGAGAGAGAGTCTCTTGATATATTTGATTAAATGAAATGATTGAAAAATGATGAAAAATGATTAAATGAAATAATTTTCAAATAGCTTAATTAAATAGTAGAATTAGACGCTGAATGTACCAGTTATATGCGAGACGATTCTCGAGACGTTTTATTATTTCTTGAAGACGTCGCTGCTAGAGTGAGAATAGTTGAGTTTTTTCTTTGCAGGGAATTGAGGAGGGTTTGACACAAATGTGCAAGTGCAGCAATGATCCGAGGAATATCGCCGTTTGGAATTTTCCCCTGGATATTACGTTCAAAAGCACTAATCCACACGGATGTGAGTATACATACAGATGAATTGTAAGAGATATGAAAACTTTTGACCCTTTTATCGTATTTCTGTCGTATTTTTACGATTTTATTGTATTTTTACGTCTAATACGTACAAATACTTTCAAAATTATTTTTACCTATTATTTCATTACAGAAACTTAATCGACTAGTGGCATTTGTGAAAAACAAAGGGAAGACCTTAATAGATATAAATCTGCTATCACTATTATCATTTTCCAGATATTTAGTTCTTTTTATTTGGCGCGCTAGATTTGTTTGGCGAATTATAACGGCGTTATACGTTTTTAGTATATAATTTGTTTATAGTATTCGTAAGTAAGGGAACGAAATATAAAAGCTAACAGAGATAACTGCAGGGCCGCAGCTTATCATGTCAATCTACGGATTGGACTTTTTCGGCCATGATGTCATCAGGGGATATGGAGTGTGTCATTTGCCGCTGGAAACGGGACATCACGAGAAAAGGTATTATTCAGATAATAAAACGAGCATAGGAGACGTGTGTAAGATAAACGAGTGGGAGAATTACCGTTTGATTCAAGATATTCTTTATTATAGAATAATTTAATTAATTAATTAACCATAATTAATTAACGTAACCATTAATTTTAATTAATTAATTAATTTAAAAGAATTAATATTATAGAATGTTATAGAATAATTGAGGTCATAACAGTTCACATAAATCCACATCCGTCTTGAAAACGTGCAAAAAAGTAGATTGCCGGCGGCTACATTTTGATTCCGGTGTAATTTTAGAAAATGTTTATTTTGCGTTCTCAGGTAATCTCTCCGAGCGGGAATTGTGTCGCAGATGAGGAAAGGTCGAGCGTGTATGCTACATTATTCATTGATTTATAGAATATTTCTATTTCCCGTTGTGTGTTGACCTTTCCTTAAGCTCCTTTGAGTCCGATCATCGATCAGTGAGCGAAAATAAATTCCAAATTCTTGCTGGCCTGGATACGTCACAAACGTCATACTTTATATCTGAACGCGCCTGTAAACGTTATTATTTATTACTCGGGGAACACGCCCGCAGCATTAATTGCGCGATGAAAGAGCGCGCATTTTTATTTATATATTCCAAAAATGTATGTATCATTTGTCCTTTCGATTCGATTACACTTTAACCGTGTTACATCGCTTGCAAAGTTTCCGAAATAAAATGAATACGGTTAAAGTCCGTTTGAATTGCCCTTACGGCGAATATCGCATACATCGGAAAAAAATATTTTCCACGTTATTCCATGTGCAACGTCTCGTTCACTAGCTCGCATCGTGTGCATCGGCTTCTCGAACATCCGATTAGGACTCCTAGGGGAGCGATCTCCCTGGGACACGTACGATATGTTCAGATGAGAAATGTGCGCTGTGGAGAAACAAATAGCGAGAGGAGAAACATGTGTCACCTTAAACGGAATAATCGATTGACTTTTGAGTTTCATCATCACACTCCGAAGGATGAAGCTTCATTATGATTTTACACATTTTACGGAACAATTAAAAATCCTTGTGCAACACTTTCTCCGACAAAACAGAAGAAAGTAACGTGCATACGAAAAATGAATCGAATCAAAGAAATTCTGTAACCATAAAATATCTCTTATTGTGTATCCTCGTTTCTGTTCTTTTCGTCGTCGGCATTGTTTTTCTCATCGAATATTTGCAGGAAGCCGATGATTAAATATGAAATATTTAATCATCAGCTTTCTAATTGAATATTTCATATTAACACATTACTTAATTAACTTAACACATTCGAAGCATAATTTCTGCGTACACAGAGAGAGAGAGAGAACGATTTAATTGAATGCTAACAAATGCTTATTTAGAACAGTCGAAATAAATTTTTTGATTGATCGAACAAAATTTTGTTTGACGCAACGAAAACATTTCGTTGGAACTAAGCTGCAACAAGATATTTTTGTTGCGTCAAACAAAACTTCGTTCGACCAATCAAAAAATTTATTTGGATTATTCCAAATAAGCATTTGTTAAATTCAACCAAATCGTTCTCTCTGTGTGGAATCTGTTTCAAGTCGGTGTGTTATCCGACCTGACAAATTCAAAGAATAATGTTTCGTTTGAAGACGTTCATCGGCTGTTGCCGAATAAACTCGGTTTCAAGTGATTCCTTTGATGTACCCGATATGAGCCGCCAAACCTTTACTTTTACCTTTACCATTTACGATTGCCTTAAGGCCGAAACTATCGATATTTGATATTGGATCGTAATTCGGCACCTACATCTGTATCAGTTCGTATATATCAATCCCTTTTGGGATTGCGTATCGAGCGCATCGTTCTGGATATTCTGGATCGCTAACGTCGTTTGGCATCGCAGGGTGTCAGTTTACGTACCGGAATCGTCGTCTACTCTGCAGCATCTCGTGGCGTGGTTAACCGGCAGAAGACCTGAATTAATTGATCCCGCTATATTGGCATCCGGTGGTGGCAGAGAACGTAAGGAAATGAACTGAGACGTTTCTCGTTAGTGTTATTGGCGTTGAATTAATTGTATTCCAGCCGGCTCTGGAGCCGTAATGGGGCATAATCGTTATACGCCGGGGCATAGCGCTGGCGTATTCGCGAATTATCAAATTAGATCACGCCATTATCTCGTGATTGAGCAATCTTGGCGCGTCGGGGAAAATTAGGGGAAGCCGAGACGGTTGATTTCTTTCTTCTTTTCTTCGTGGATGGCTTGTGAAAGCAGTCGATCAAATGGAACTGGAATTGTTTTCTAAGTAACTTGTAGAAGTAATTCCTTTGTTTATTCATAACCAATTATACAAGGATTGTGATGCGTCGAGATTCCTGTGATACTTCCAGTGATACTTCCACAGGTCCGAAGGCTGAGTGTCTGAAAAACCGTCTGACGTGTCGACGCTCCTGATAATAATAAAACTTTTGAAATTCGCCGTGCTTTCCTCGTGAAGTTTCTCCCACGTGTCGAAGATCTTTTTCTGTCGTCGCCACTGCTTTGTCCTCAAGTTGTACGCTTTGCAATATTACAGTTACACGTATGAGGGTCGAGGGAGTCGTCACCGTAACATTCAACGTCGTTTTGAAGGACTTTTTCAAGTTGGGCTACGATAATGGCGAGAAACGAAAGGCGCGATAACGCAGGCGTAATCCCTCTCAGCTTGCGGAACATTATCTGGCTGAAGGATCATCCAAACAAAGGATTTGCGTTTTGTAATTAACGCTTCTGCAAATACAAGTCTTTATAAAAAAAAAAAAAAAAATTATTGAGACGCCTCTCCTTCGACGTCCTTCTTCATTATCCTCAATGTCAACCGTATTAAGTTAAAAATAAGGTAGCGCGTCAAAAAGCAGTATCCATGCTAATGGACGTCCTGTGTAAAAAACGGAAGAAAAAGAAAAGGAAAGCAAGCTAATCCTCCGCGAGAGACTTATTAAATTTCACGTGGCTTTAATCCGCGAGATGATTACGGATGCTTTAGTCCCGTCGGCGACGTAACTGCGATAAGTGCAGGTGAAATAGATAACAGTGTCGTGGCCGAGCTTTCAGGAGAGGATTAAAAATGTCATTTGCGCGGAATATCTTAGCGCCGTAGTGCGCCGGAAAAGCTGTCCATAGCAGCCTTCGATTTTCCGCGCGATTACGGCTGACCGAAGCAGCCGTTTTACATATCGCTGAATATTGCGTCCGAGATTTTCATCGAACGCTGGAGAGTGCGTTGCACTTGCCGGAGGGAAGGACGAGTGCTCGCAAGAGTTTTGCAACGTAACTATATCCCGTTATCGCGAATACTCGATTGATTATGCGTCGCGTAAAAAAAAACATGTTGTTACAATGCGCAGCAAGTGCTTCAATGTGATGCGAATGCGATGTAAAACATACGCGCGAATGTATGTAATATATCCCGCGAGCTCTTGACATATGAAATAAAAGTTGAAATGGAAATTTAAGTGTAAACACACGGGGTATATGCAGGGCGTTTAAAAAAAGGGAGCTTTAAGGGCAAACAACATTCACAAAGTGGAGGGGAAAGATCCTCGTAAGCACGGGTCGAAAATTAAAATTGTCGGAGCCATGAATAATTATTTACTTTAATTGGAGCAAGTGATTTACCCCCTTCTGGTGCTTTTGTATTCTCTAGCGCAATTTATCTACGTCATTTATCGGTGAGCAAAGTATCATGCTTTAAAGGAATCCCTACGAGGAAAGTTTCTTCGCTCTTGCTCGGAGTGCAAACAAACATCTATTTCCTTCCTACATTTATGTACATCCTTCAGCAAGTAATTGTCAGTCACATATCCTCGTGAACAGTTGCAGAGAGCCGTCACAAAGTTTTCACAACACGGTAAGAATAACATCGTGTCACTCTAATCAAGAAGTGGCAAAAATGCATTTTACATGGCTATGCGCCAGGAGCGAGCAAGTCACTTCCCGAGTAGAACAATTAATAGAGCTCTGGTAAGGGCCTGATTAATTTTCCCTAAGATTAATCGGGCCTTAGTAGGGATAGAAAGACAAGGGCCCTACAAGATGTGTAACAAATGCTTTAGCGGATCCTTATAAGACAATATTACGAGGGCCTTATAAGGAAATATTAACAAAGTTTTATGAGGCAATATTAAAAGGGCCTTTTAGAGTAATATTAAGATGTGGAGTTAAAACCCGATTTTAAGTTTGAGTAACACATTCACTCTTGCAATTGCGAGTCGAAATATTTGTATTATTGCTTGAATAAAAATATTCATTCTTTTCATTCCAAGAAATTTAGACTGTAATTTCTTTATTTCTTTATAACCTTGTTAATATACAACAAGAGTTTTTTATTTTAAAAATATAACATATTTCACAAAAAAATATAGCATGCTTTAGATATAAAAATCCTGCTATTGTTTTATTAAAGTTTGTAAAGTTAGTAAAGCATTTCAAAACAAAGACAATATTAGAAAAATCTTTGGAAGAGACTAATAAAATTTGTTTTTAATTGCGGTATAATTTAAAGAACCGGATAGAGCGTACCTATTAAAACAACGTTAAACTATGACAATTTTATTACACGTTTCAAATCTTATTAATTTTTTATAAAAAATTTGATTTTGTATATCTAAAGCATTCTTCTAAGGATCCTTCTAAGGTCCACATCAATTTTCCATGTTAAAACGTTACTTCGTAAAATCTAAGGCATCCCTAAAAATCCTTCCAAGGCCCTTCTCACCTTTTCCTATCAAAGCCTTATTTCCTAAAACCCAAAAGGTATCCCTAAAAGACCCATCTGTGGTGGACCCCCCTGATGTGGTAATAATGAGACATCCTTTTTTAGGGCATTCTATTTTCAGCCTTATCGGGGCCTTATGTTTCATGAAGATGGCATACAATGGCTAACAATTTTTTGCTCGGGCTTCTTCAATTAGACTAAATAATTGTTCGTAACTCCGACGATATTAATGTTTCGACCCATGTTTATCTGGATTCCTTTAAAGTCTTGAACCGTTTTTTTTTTTAACACCCTGTATACCAAACTGTTGTACCAAACCAAATCAATAATAAATACACGCGGGTCCGCCGAGAGAGACAAGGAGAAGCAACGGGCGACATTTCACAAAGGATTTAACATCACGAGCTGAAAATTAAGGGAGTCAATTTTTAACTTTGGACACATTTCCGATACATCGATGATGAAAGGACAAATTGAAGAATGATGTAGTGCATCTGTCGGAGCTGACAGAGTGACGGTATGTGCAACGGGAGCCGCACTCATGGACTCACTTTTGTGCGTTTATGCGCAGCGTAATGACGCATTTGCAGCGACCGAACGCGACAGTAATGATTCAATAATGCTCGAAACATAAAATCGGGACGCGAGTTTTAATCTAGCCATACCGCGCGCCACTTATGATTATATCCGCGAGCCGGATGCGGGGCGGGAGTGCTTGAAGATGACGTAGCATCGTTTTACGAGCGACGCGCGTTGAAGGTAGCCAGAATGAAAGTGCTGCAAACTATATGAGCCACGTCGTAAACGTATAAGTCGCGGAATAAGCGAGTAACGTCGACCGATAACAATGGAGAGGGAGGACGCCGCTTTGTTATTCTTGCCTCGTCGCGCGAGACGCGAGTGTAAGATCGATTTTTGGTGCATGTCCACGTACGTACGGAAATACGCTCCGTTTATTTTCGTCCGGAGTACAATCCTTTTTTCAGCTTCCGCTCGGAGAAAGCGCGGCGCGTTGAAATTTCCTCAAGTCCCCGCGTCCGTCTATTCGCGAAAAATAGGCCGAGAGAAAGGGACGGTCCGCTGCGTTATCGCAGGCTCGTATTGTCCACGCATATTTTTGTCCGGTGATTAATTAGCCGATTTAGTGCGAGCAAACGAAGGCAACGGAGAAATCGCCCGTTTGGCGTGTTTTGATGGCGCAGTGAGAGTGAAATGGTGCACCCAAAAAAAGTATTCTATTTGTAAAGTGATTTTTCTCATAGTTTCGTATTCTAAGCGAAACCTTTTACGGAAAAAGGATTCCTCTTTCGATCAAACGATTAAAATGAACCGTTCATTTAAAATTTATTAGATATTATTCTGTAACTGTTTTCCTCTTATTTCAAAAGATTTCTTCTTATATCAATTAATTTTCCTCTTACATGAAGAGGAATATGTTGACTTGAATGTCGGTTTCTTTTGTTCAGTCATTTTCTATCTCCAAACATGAACGAAAAAATAACCATATGCTCATGAGTCAGAATATTTGGAATGCTTTTTAAAAAAAGTGTGTGTGTTGCTGTGACACATAACGAAGATAATTTACCCATATTTGGTCAAATATAGTTTATAATTTGTTGCAAGAAGTTGAATAATATATTCTTTCTTTTAACTATGTTTCATACGATTGGTTATGATGAATATCTTTGTAGCTATAAAATCCATAACAAAACTGATTGTTATGGATTGTTGAAAACTGGAAATTTATTTGTTATGATGATCTTATTTCATTCGTGTTTACTTATTATAAAACTGGAGCCAGAAGTACATCTATATATATATATATATATATTACTTTTCGCTATGATTATAATTTTTACAAATTAACCAGTATAACCAATAAGAATAAAGTACAGTAAGAATAAATAATAATCTTTTTAAAAAAGAGATTAAATAATCTGTGCATAAGAGGAAATTGATATTAAAATCGATAAGATTTACATGATACATATAACATATAATCCCTCTAACTTGAAGAATAATGTGTTTATAATACTTTCCTCTTGGAGGAATCCTCTTGAGGCTATATATAAGAATAAAATTTTCTAAAATTTAGACGATTCCACTTGTTCTGAAATTACTCTTTTTTGGGTGCATGCTATTCACGGTGCTGCAAAATCTCCGTACAACGATGGACGACTGCTCCGTGATTTGTCGAGCATAACGGCGCACGATCAGGAACACGTAACCGTCGCGGAAGAGAACAGTAACTCCAAGTGTTGGGTTTTCTGCTCGAACTGTTGAATTTCCCCTGCGAAATTGATAACCGCACGGAACGTCCGCGCGTCGCCCCACGCCAATGCCAGCTGTTTTCGGAAGAGGAAAAAAATATATAGTTTTCAGATAGCCGGCGCATAGCGAGCGCTAAACAAAACAGATACAAACAGCTACAATCCATAGCGCGATGGTGGCGCATCACGGAAGGGATAACACTCAACTCGTGTTAATCCAATACCTGTGCAAGTGGTTACGATGACGTACCGCTGAACAATCGATACGCATCAGTAGCTTCAGTAACTCGATATCAGCCCACTTTCTGACAGTGACGCAAAACAAAAATGCATTGTTTTCCATTCGTCATTCATCATTTTTTCTTTTTTCCCTTACAAAAACCTAGCGTCAATGCGTGGCGCGCTATTAAGTCACGCGGCCGCGATAATTGCACGAGCACACTCAGGTGTACTTAATTCGTTACTACAACGAGCGTTTCGTCTTTCTTTTTTCCTTTCTCTGTTTCTCTCTCTCTCTCTCTCTCTCTCTCTCTCTCTCTCTCCATTTCTCACGCTGCTGTGGATTATGTCGTAGACGAGATTAGTTGTGAAATGTTTGATATCTATATAAACGCTCAATTATCCGAACACGGAGGAGAGAGAGAGCGAGAGAGAGAGAGAGAGAGAGAGAGAGAGATTGCTTGAATTAATACGACCAAGTGCACGAAGTGAGCCCGATTTGCTGACAGGAACGGAATTTCTCGTTCTCAGAAGAGAGAATTTGCTTCATAAGAACGAGAGATCGATTTTCCTTAGCCGAGACGCGTCCGGTCCGCTTATCGTCAAATTCCTTTTCTCTTTTTTTTTGTTGCGCATGTATTTACACATTACGTTTAGTCGCGCGATCAATTGGTCACTTATTGGTCCACCTACATTATCTGCCGTTGTCTGAGTACTTGATGTCCGGATAGAGACGGAGGAACTCGAAGACAACGCCGTTCGTCCATCCGAAGCCCTCTTGAGCGATGTACTCGCCGCCGCCGCCGCTTTCGCCGGGATGTATCGCGCTGTACTGAAATGAAAACGAGAAAGAAAGGAAACTAATTAGCACGGGTAATCGCTCGTCACCAGACACGAGACAAACTGTCGCAAAGGCAATCAAGACACGCCCTTAGATCGTCGCCGAGAGGTCTCCCTCCGCGACGGCGAGTTAATTTCCGCGCGGAATGCTTATCCTGCGAGGAAACCTAATTTCGTACGATCGCGGCAACTCGGATGAATTTTCGTCAGTTAGTTAGTTACAGCACGCGGCATTTTAGCGACAGTCCGGGTTGCTTTCTCACCCGTCAGATTACGCGAAATGTTCGCCGGCTGAGAGTTCCGCTTTCAAGGTACATAAAAGTACATAAAGATACATAAAAATGTGCGCGTATTGTATGTAAGAAAAGGAATATACAGGATGTCCGGAAAATCCGCCCGTAGTACTTCGTGAAGTAATTCGGAACCGAAAAAGAAGGAAAAAAGTTATAGATTGTCTGGGATTTTTGGAAACGAAACATTATGAAGATTAATCAGATGAAACTGAGAAGAAAAATCATGTACCATTTTGCACATAAGTAACCAAATTTTCAAATTATCAAATTATCAATTTAAAATGCCTCTAGATATAGTCATTTTCAATCATTAATAACTTCACAACTATTGTAATTTTTGCAAAATGGTATATGACTTTTCTTCTCAGTTTAATCTGATTAATCCTCACATTTTTTCGTTTCCAAAAGATCCCGGACACCCTGTATAAACTGTATAAACGTAGAAAATAAATCGTTTCCGAGTTGTAACCACTTTTATGTTAAAACTATCGTAATTCATTTCTGTATTTTTAATTCAAAAATTTTTTTTACATTTTTAAATTTTGTTAAAAATTTTTTATTTTTTTATTTTCTATTATTTTTTTATGTTTATTATATTTCTTTATAGAGTATGGAATAAAAATTTATGGACAAATCAAACAAATTGGCTATGAAAATGTCAAGCCGAATAGAACGATATTCAATTTTAATAACTTTGTAAGCTGGTTAATCAAATGTCGATTGTAATAGCTCGAAAACAGCAAGTAGAAAGTAAGTTTATTTTCAGCTTTGCTTTAAGCCTATAGTCAGAGTTCATTTTCTGTCATTTTTTATTTTTCACTCATTCATTCCAGACAGTTTTCCATAAGTTTCAAATTATTATTTAGCATTATTATTTAGCAAATTATTATTTACCCTTACTTGCCCTTTACTTTAAGATTGTACCTAGTCTTTCTGTAATCAGCAGATCAGTGGATCGTTGAGTTTTAATGAATTAACTGATATACATCTTATGTATAGTCTTGCTCAGAGCGAGGCAACAAGATTATATGCCCAGTTTTTTCCAGTCGATATGCACCGGGAAGAAAGGCTTTCCGAAATGTAGATAGAATCTTGAGAGAATTTGATACATTAAAAAAGAGAACAAGTAAAGGCAGACCTAAAGCAGATCTTGTAATGGAAAAAGAAGTACTTGAACTATTTGAGCGTAACCCTACTACTAATGTTAGAACTGCTTAGGATAAAATTGGAATATCAAAATCAACAATATAAGGTGTCCTATTTTAAATGCTTCAAGCAAATATCTCAAAAAATGTGGAAGATATGGAAAAATGTTTCAAACAATAAATTTTGTTGTTAACTTGTTAACTTATCGACTTTTGAAAATTATCAAATTAACGAAAATCAAAGCGCTATTATAACAATATATTCTTGAGATCAAGTAGAGTAAAAAAAATCTAGTACCACTTTTTCTTCCGACAAACAGCGAGATATCGTAAGTAAAAAATTGAAAAAGTTGCCAAGTTTTCCTCGAATATCTCAAAAATATAAGGCAAATAAAAAAATATTTCAGACGAAAGTTGTTATAATTAATTGGTAGAAAAAGATATAATAAAAATTGGAATTTCTATTTAAGAAAAGTAATTATCAGTCTATCAGAATTTTTCGAAAGTGGCGCCATCTTTAAACAAAATGATATAGTTGTTTTATATTCTTTTTCGAACCATGCAACTTGTGTCTAAAATATTTTTCCGTGTCTTCCATATTTTTCGAAATATTTGCTTTGGGCATTTAAAGTTTATCATAAAAGTGGCTATAACTTGGGAATGACTTATTTCCGGATTTATATTTTTTTCCAGCTTTTTTCCTTCTTTTTGGATCCCGAATAATTTCCGGAAGTATTGCGGGTGATTTTCCAGATATCCTGTATAAAAGTTCGAATATACTAGGTATTTAAAGAAAAGGGTTCAGGACTTTAATAGCAGAGAGTTCTCACAAAATAAGAAAAAAAGTCCTAATAGACATGGCTCGGAAAATTGATATTACGGAGTTCTAAACAATTACTTATTTTAATTAGCTCTCTGCAACTATCCGCTGTTCATGAAGATACTGCTTGGTGAAGCGTGCGTATCATTGAAAATAAAGAAAATAGATGTTTGTTTACACTCCGAGCAAGAGCGAAGAGACCTTTTTTACGAATTTCTTTAAAGCATGTTACTCTCTTTACCGAGAAATGACATAGATGAAAAAATCAGAAAATACAAAAACACCAAAAACAAGTAAGTCACGTGCTTTAATTAAAATAAACAATTGTTTCTTCGTGTTTATCAGGACTTTTTTCCTCCATTTTGTGTCAGTGTTGCACCTATACTCAAAGTCCTGAACCCTTTTCTTAAACACTGTGCATAAACAAATATATGGAATCAATAAAATAAGAATACTCTGCATAAAAAAATATATGAAATCAATAAAATAAGAATACTCTGCATAAAAGAATATATGAAATCAATAAAATAAGAATAAATCGTGATAAGCCCGGGGATATTTCAATTGACCACGGCGTGAGGCACGAATGGAAGAGGAAATCAACGTATTTATATTCATTACTTTTATATCGACGATAAATCATCGCGTCGTTTCGCGTCCGAAGGCGCGCGATCGCCGTTATTACGTATAAGAGTTTCCGACCCGAAAGCGATACGTCATCAATCAGGAGAAAGAGCGGGGACTCTTCGTTATTTCTCCTTACCCTCCTTCCGAGCTTCTGCGACCGGATGTGGGACGCCGAACGGGACAATAAAAGATACTCCGTATCGCAAATCCTTCCCTTTGTCCGCGACAATGCGATTTTCAAATGGTTCCCGCCCTCATCGTACGTGTTACAGGGTCGGGAAACATTTCTACAATTCCGATACGGCGATTGTCGCCTATTTCGCGAGCAGCGTTCTCCTGCAGTTGTGTATCGATTACGTCAGTGACGGCAAAACACGCGGGCGAGATGAGAGAATCCTCGGACCTCTAGACGCTTACGAACCTCCGAAACGTACGTAATTAAAAATCAACGAGGCGCGCTTCAACTGTTTCGCCCGCCGAGATGTGAAATATGTGTGGCAGGTTTCGCCACTTCTCACTAATTAAAGACGTGCTTGTTTTTTATTTTTGACAGACGACACGTGTGTTCGCGGTGAGCTGCGCGTTCGTTTGTAATAAAACAACTATCGCCGCGGGGGGGGGGGGAGAGCGGGGATCGAGTGAAATAAATCGTTCCTATTTATTCGAACGAAAAGGCAAGGCATTCCGGGCAATAGCTAATCTAATGTCCTGGACAAGAAATCGCAACCGTATTGGATTATGACGTCAGAAGCGAGGAAGCGGGAGTAATTCTTTCTTGCGGTGTACTTCCGAATAAACGAGTTTCTCCACGTACGTATCGTTCGCATTTCTTTTCTCCTACTCGGCTCTCTTTCATTAGTAAATGGAAGTGCGATGTAATCTGAATGTTCCCGTCGAAAATAGGCTTCGTGAGAGCTCTCATTAAATAATACAATTATTCATTAATTCACCAAGCAGAGTCGCGGCTCGCGTCTCTCGTGAATTATTACGGACGTTCTCCTCCCGTGTCGTCGATTTTGGAAAAATAAATGAATCCTGTAGCTTTTCCCGACAGAATAGGGAATGTTATAAACGCGGAGACGGAACTTTTCATACAGAGAGAAATTTCAATTTCGACAAGAGTAACAGATCAGTCTATAGACGGAGGAGATACAATTCCAATTTACCGACGCGCTAGATTTCCCCCGCCGAGAAAAAAAATACCTTCGACTCAGGCGTCCCTTCTCATTTTCAGGGGGAGGCAGGCGAAAGGAACCTTGATTGAATCGATCGAGCATGTTTGTTCAGCAAGATGGACCGGCTATTTCCTGCGAGAGCTCGTTAGCAACACTCCGATATCAGCGCGACATGATTCATGCGGACTTTCAAAGCGTGCCGTGAATTTCTTTCCCGTCTTCCCATCTTTCTTGCAAAATTGATAAAAGTGTATGCGCGAGAGCTACCGGCCTCTTTTCTCCCTCCTTTCCTTCCCGCTCTTTCTTTGTTCCTCCTCACAGTACAGCACGTTTCTCGTCGAGATATGTTCGAGCGCGCGAGAACGTCCTGGAAGGACCTTTTCGAAAGCGCGAAGGGTGCGCGGGAAACAAAACAAGACGGATTAGCGCGAGTCCCATGCCGGACGTATTTCCCGGAGGTTTTCGCTCAGCCCCCGGCTCTCTCTCCTCCCCGCGTCCCGGTAGAACAGAAAGGCACGTAGAAGCCACGGCAGGAGGGTTCGAGGGATTTTACCCTCGCGCGCGCATTAGGCGCGTCCAAGCGGCTATCTCTTCCCTCGTATCGCTAGAAATCCGAGAGCCTCCACTGAAATACATATCTCATCGAGTTTCCGTGTCAAGAGAGAACACGAGAAGACACCACGAGCGTTGCCGATACGGGGATGTTTACTCCGCTATAGTGTATCGATACTCTCATCTGCGATGCTAGGTATCTCGGCTATTGGGACTTCAGTCTCGACATCAATCGCGAGCGTCGGTACTTGCTAATGAAAAAGAAAAAAAATGGGGAAGAGTCCCTGAAAAGAAAATGTTACGTTAATATATCCGAGCCGTGTCGAGACTGAACCGCTCTTCTCCGCGATAATCAACATCAGGAGGAACATCAGATTTTGACAAATCACGCGACGTCTGTGTATTTGAAGCATATTTATCGTCATGACGGTGTCGTGTGTGCGCCGGATATATTGCCGTAAGCCCTTTCTTCTGCTAGACCTCGATATTGTTTACTATCAGCAACAGACCCGAGAGCGTGCGTGTATGTCGAAGACAGCTGTCGCGGAGCATTCCTCAGCAAGAGAAACGCCTTCTCTGAAACTTTTTACCTCCGCGGACAATGGAGCGAATGAATAGGATCAGTTGAGCGCAAGAACGGACTTACCTTCTCGAACATCTTGCCGTACTCGTCGTAACCAATGTAATTCGATCTAAGCCATCTACCGGCCAGTTCTCTGGCGAGTTTCATCGCCCTTTCCACTGACGTTTGATGGAGACCTTTGACCAAGAAGGACTGTAATGGCGGCCACGCGTTGGGGAAGTCCCATTGCTCGCCGGTATAGTTCACGGAGGTCGGCGTGCCACCTACGGCGAAACAAGCGAATCGTTTCTAACAGCGTTGTTTCTCTCGCGGGGATCACCTCCCCCCGACTCGAGAAACACCCGGCAGATCAGGGGTGGAAAAATAGCCCACGCCACGTGGAAGCACCCTTTCGCATCACGCGACTACCGTCAACTTTAAATTCAATTCCCGCCGGTCAAGAGACAAACTTCTTCCGGCAATTTGTATGACATTTTGCGATATTTAACGTTTAACAAATTCTAAGTTGGGCTATAAATATTTGGGCAGATGTTATAAATTGCTTTAATAATAATATAACATGTGCGAGCGCGAGAACAAAGTCCCAATTTCGAGAATAAGTAACCAAGATACCGAAAATATCGAAGATATCGAAAATTATCACGTCATCGTGATAATTGCATACTTGGAGATAGATCAGTTGATAATTTTTTCCTAATTATATAAGCAGTAATCTCTCTATCTTAATACAAGTACCGATATTTACGTTATTAATAGTAAGCATTTAATTATTCATGATATTAAATCTAACGGTTAATCCTTTCCGATGAAACTTATATAACCCAGAGCAAAATTTGAAATTGAAATATTCTCTCGCTCTTTTGCGGTTTTAAAGTGTTGACATTTAATTTTTCTAAATGACACATGGATTAGCATTTGATAACCTCAAATAATCAGTAATGTCCACGATGGCTATTAACAAGGAGCATACTCGATATGCGATGCGTTTTGCATTTCATTTAAACAAAAACGCTTCCGAAGCAACTAAAATGATTTATGCTGCTTATGGTGAAAAATGCTGTGACCGATCGCACGTGCTAAAACTGGCTTGAACGTTTTTCAAATGGTGATTTTTATCTTCACGACCGACCACGCCCCGGCTAGCCAAAACAATTTGAAGACGAGGGGTTGCAAAATCTACTGAATGAAAATACGGCACAAACACAACAAGAATTTACGAAAAAACTGGGAGTAAGCCAGAAAGCTATTTGCGATCGTTTACATTGTATGGGAAAGATACAAAAAGAAGAGAAGTGGATCTTACACGAACCAATAACAAAAATCGCTGATTGACCACATGCGTCACTTTGTTCGCTAGATAACAAAAAAAAAGATTTTTTACACAATTTTTTCACACAAAATCGTAACTAGTGGCGAAAAATGGATTATGCATGAAAATCCTAAACGCAAAAAAGCATGGGTAGACCCTGGTCAACAGACAACGTCGAAAATCCAAACATTTCAGAAAAAAGTTCTCTATATGAGGGGGGGGGGGGCCAGACTCGTATATGGTGGGATCAGAAGGGTGTGCTGTATCATGCTCTTGGAACCGGGTGAAACCATTAAAGCAGAGATTCACCAAAAACCGTCGATACATTTGGGCGATGCAATTGAGAAACAAAGGCCATTTACTGGACAAGGCAGCCGTAAAATCATCCTGCTGCACGACAATACTAAACTGCATACAGCAGAAGCCACAAAGGAAACTATTTTATACTTGGGGTAAGAAGAAGAACTCTCACACGTGGCGCATTTTCCAGACTTGGCTCCATCAGATTTTCACTTGATCAGTCAATATAACACGCATTGTCTGATACACATTTTTCGACAGTTGACGCACGAAATATCATCGATGACTTTATAACCTCAAAGCCACCAAGTTTCTATTGTGATTCGAGATTCGGCTATTGCCCGATAAATGGCATAAGGTCATCGATAACAACGGAAAATATTTCATTGATTAATCTTGTTTCGTTGATTCTTAAATAAAAATTGAAAATTGTCGGAAATCGGAAAGAATTAACCAGTAGAACTTATTATATTTAATAACCGATGTGTATGTTATTATGTAGAAAACATAATCTGATCGATTAAAACAAGCTAGAATCTCATTCGTATCGACGACTGAATATTAATAAAAATTTATCCAGGATCGTACCGGATTAAGGCAGTCTGCCGAATCAATTTCACTAAATATATGATATACGAAGGGTCCTAGTTTATACCGCGGTACCTTTCATCCACAACGCCCCTTGATCCTTTGATCAAGTTGAAGTCACTTTTTCGCTGATGAAAATTTTATTGATTGCCACTGTTTTCCCAATCTCGACGCCGCTACCCAATGCTCGCAACACACTTTTAGCCACTTTTTACCATCAGACACGGCAATTGGAGATTGAAACTTTCGTTCTGTACAATATATTTTTTCTTTTTTCATAAAAAATGCTTCCGTTTATACAATTGTGATTTTTACTCTTTCGGATAATTTAAATCTGCTATCATATTACGACGAAAAATCTCGTCTGCCGAAAATAACGTTCCGACAATTGCATCTCGATATTTCAGGCGCGATTTGTAAGGATAAAAATATCCTGTCGTTCGTACATTTCCTGAAGCCGAATACGTTGAAAAATAATTCGTCATGTTTCAAAAATCAACGCTGGTCACGCGCGTAACGGACATCAAGAAAATAATAACAACATTTATTCGCGAGAACTCATTTTGCCGATATTTCGACGAATCACTGTCGTTGGCAGCCACGATTGAAAGTATTTTCTAATAGTCGTCCAATTTTCTCGGGATGCGTACGATGCGGGCAATTCGAGCATCGATAAATCGCGATATTTCACCGTCCCGCCTGGAAATCTCACCCACGTCTATACGTCTCTTCCGTTATGCCATTATTATGAATAATGACACATCATCCGCAGGCACGATTCACTAAGGCTGTTGTCATAAGCGCGCTTATAGTCCAATTATTTCAAAATAAGTTGCTCGATCCCTCCGCAGCTGTTTATGTCTCTTGAAGGAAAAATTAAAAAAAAACATATCCATGACTTTAATTCGTAACGAAAAACTGACGGTCCCACGACGTACAACCCCAACAGTGATACGATATGACAATTAACAATTGAAGTCCAAACTGCCACCATTAAAAAGCTTAGTTTAATTCTTAAAAGCTGTCATCAAGGAAAATCACGTTGACGCTATCATGGATAAAATTTCACCCCAGTATATATCTTTTTGGAAAATTAGAAATCAGAAAAGTCAAACAAATGCAATTAAATATTTTATTATTATTTTATTATTTATATATGAGATGAATGGTACAGAAGTTATTGTTCGCAGTGGATAATTTAACGTTTAATAAGATCAAAACAAGATTGTCGCATGGGGTGAAATATCAGTCATGGTAGCCTGTAAGGGTTAATTACTTTCGACGGTGCTGCTGTTGTCGGGCTTGCAATACCAATTTACTCGGATAACCCACTTGTAGCGTCGTTTACATTCTCTTCACTGCACTCGTATGTTATACTCGTATATAGGATGTTTAGATTCATAGAGGTTTGCTACTTTCGCTGGGTATACATATGTGGTTCTTCTAGCTTCTATGAGCGCGAGATTCGGCGAGATCACTGTTTACTCAGCTCGGAATGACTGACGGGAGAGGGGAGGGGGGAGTTTGCGGGCAACTTTGGCGAGCTTGGGAAAGAAAATGGAAGATAAACGATCGGGCTAACGTTTCTGGGCTGAAGCGGAAGTTGGATGAACCGATCTGCTTTATCATCGATTCGCTCATTAAGCACTGCAAATCGTCGAATGTTTAATTTTTTTTTTTATTCAAGAAAAATCATTTTGTTTCGTCTTTCAACTTGGTCTACTTCAAATTTAATCGTCTCTATACGTGGAGAAAAGTGGCCAAAAGGAATCAGATAGATTACATTTGCACAAGAAAAATTTTTTCCCTTCGAAAGAAAGAAGTTTCAATATACGGAAATTCCTTTTCAAACCAAATCACGCACAAGTGATACAAAAGTGAGAAATTATAAATAAAGTAATTACTTCATGAATAAACGAATAACCAAAATAACCAGATTTACCGGGACACATCCCCGAAGACACCCTCAAACGTAGAAAATGAAAATATTGTGAGAATTATAGACACACAAAAGATCGCGCGCGACTTTTAGATTTCAACACTCACAAACAAGCACACGTTGATTCAGGCTGGAATAACAGCGGTCGATGAAAACTTACCGAAGTACGATTCGACGTTGTTCTTGTCGAGATAAGTAACAGCCTTTTCTGCATATTTGGTTGTCTTCGAGTTATTATAGCTCATCGTATAGAGAGGCGTTAAATTCGACAGGTAGAATGCATTTCTTGATCGTTTGTTTTTTACGTCATAGTCGAGCCAGATTTCTTCCTCCTCATTCCAGAGGATGTTGTCGATAGCAGCCCGATAGTCCTTCGCAATTTGGGCATAAGACCAGACTTTCTGGAATGAGAAAGGGGGAAAATAGCGTCGCCGCAGCGACGGACGTAACGCCGTAATGTCTATGTAAGATAATCGATAACGAGCGAGATTTGAGACGAAGCGACACTGATATCGTGCCACACCTTCACTTATCTGACGACAGCAGAATGATTTCTCACGAATTTCCGCGATCGAAAAGCATTTTGCAATGTACTTCGATATCATTATTTTTACTGGCTATACCGACGAGACTATTTCTGTCGTTGTGGATAATTTAATCGCGCGAAGAAATAATATTGCTCTTTTCCGTTTGAATTATCAAGCTTGCAAGAAAGTCATGTCGTTTCTTTTTCTATGCAAATGAAAAGCGACTTTTCCATTTTACAAAGGGAAAACTTTATTCTGTGATATATTGTGCGTTTAATTCAATGACCTTTTGCCATCTGTTTGGTAGCTTCATGTTTCCGGTCTCATGGAACTTTCGGTTAGAGATGTGCGAATCAAGAATTTTTATGTCGAATCGAATCGAATCGAATCTCAATTTTTTTAATTCGAATTCGAATCGAATCGAATCTACGAAATTTCACTCGAATTCGAATCAAATCGAATGAAATTGAATCGAACCATTAACAAATTTAACATGACTATTAAACATGCAAATAATGATGGAAGATTTTAATATGAAAGGGAGTATCAATATTGTAATATCATCTTAAAGTAAAATATATATTTAAATATTTAAAATAATTTATAATTAAGTTATTAATTATAAATTAAGTTAATTACAAGTTAAGGGGTCAAACATACAGGCCCAGATGGCCCGTTTTGTAGCTGATGCGCGCAAACGCTAAGTATTTGATTCGTATTCGAATCTTCGCAATTCGAAATTTTCGAATTATTCGGATTCGAGTCATAAGGATTCGGATTCGAATTCGAATAGTTCGCATACTCTCTACTTCCGGTCCTTACCGGCGAAAAACTGATTCAAGTACTGCTTGATAGCCTCATCAGAATCGAATTTTTTTCTCTTCAAGGAATTTTGCAAGGAACGAAGTAAACGGTAATTTGATGGCGCAAGGTCAGGCGAATGTGATAGATGTGGTAATATATCCCACTCAAGCTGCAACAATTTCTAGCGGATGACCAACGATGTATGTGGGCCCAGCATTGTCATGGTGAAAGACCTTTGTACCTTTCTTTGTACGATTCTGAGCGCTTCTGCTTGATTGCTTCGTGTAATTTGTCCAATTGACGACCGTTCCGAATCAATCGTTTGATTGCATTTAAGCAGTTCAAATGACGCAACACCTTGTAATCCCACCAAGCAGATAGCAAAATCGTCACGTTTGCTCCACGATCTGTTTCGTTCCACATTGTCGTAAATCCATTTTTTATCACCAGTTCATTCGTTTCAAAAACGAATCGTTTTGCTCACGTTTCAGGAGAGAATCGCTGCTATTGATGCGTTTGGTGAGAAAAATTTCTTTGAGCTCGTGCGGAACGCAAATATCGAATTTGTTGACGTATTCAAGTTATTTTAAATGGTTTTCAACACTCGTATGTGATACGTTTAGCTTTTCAACGATCTCTTGTATCATATAACGGCGGTTGGATTCAATGCTTTTATTTTGTCGTCATCGACCTCAATTGACCGGCCTGATCGTGATGCATCTTTCGCAAAAAAATCTCCTGAACGAAAACGCGGCAAACCAACGCTGACGCTGGCTGGCTCTGTTAAGGATTTCTCACCATATGCAGCACATAACTTTTGACAGGTTTGCACAGCGTTTTTTTCTTTTTTGCAAGTAAAAAAGTAAAATATGGCGGAAATGCTCGTCTCGATTTTCCATTTTTAACTCAATGCCAAACGAACAATTCGTTACCGAATGACGCGGTTTTCTTTTAAGAAAAGCTCAAAGCGTCAGCTGTCAAATGATATAAAAGTTGCAGGATTTGGAGTGAAGTCAGTTGCGTTTAATGACACGTAAAGCCAGCTATCCGTGAGAAACGACTTTGTTGCCAACCTGATATCGTAGTGAATATCGTGGAATTGCAATTTATACGCGGTTTACATCCGTCGCTATAAACCATAAAAGTTCGAAATCGCCCAGTAAGTAAGGATTAAACAAATATAAGTGTGCATCGTGCGTTCTTATTCTCGAAAGAGTATTACCACAGCAATAAACATCGCGCGACTCAGCGGCGCGGCTATTATGCGCGTTTGAAAAACGATCCAGACGGAAAGTTCAGCAAGAGGCTTACCTCGGTGTTACCCAGGATAATATGGAAGAAGGCGAGCAATCTGGCGTTTCGCTCTAATATCGCATTCAAATCGACGGGTATAATGTTGCTCGTGGAGACGTTGACGAGACTGAGCTTGGCATTCTCGTTGGTTACGACGCCCCATCTGTAAGAGAAGTCCCAGCCACTCTCCGCCGCGGCTTTCAGCTCGTTGTAAAGCTCCTCTCGCTTCTGCTCCGGCAGTTGCGCGGCCAATTGGTAATCCTCCCTACGAGAAAACGTACGCGCTCTTGCGTGTTGGTCCTTCGTAATTAGCGCGATGATCGAGGACCTCCCTTAATGATCGACGCGAGCGTCCTGGTGGAAAGTTTCCGCACTCACGAGAAAACTAATGACACGCCCCGATGTCAGGTTAAAAAAAGATATTCCTCGATAAATCTTTCGCGGACACGAGGAAAGCGACAGATTCATTATTTCGTGAAGACGCAGCTTCGTGAAAATGAATTTTTCGGAATTTTTTCTCCTCGGGAAGAGACGAGTTTTTTGTAGAAAAGTCCACTGTAGCGTCGTATCGAAAGCGATCGTTGCATTATGCTTCACATGAAGCATAATCGGACAGGTATTCATTTAACCCTTTAACGCCTGCTGGTAACTATAATTACCAGAAACGCATTTAAGAATCCATAACTTGGTCGAAAAAGGAGATATTTTCGTTTTCTTTACATCACTGTAAAGGTGAATTCTTCTTCTAAAAAATGGTATATAGATTGTATGTAGATTCGGTTTAGTCTGTTTTTAGCTCAGCTTTAATGATATGTTTTGTCAAATTCTAAGTATAGGCATAGTTAGCATTGTTACTGACATCTAGAAGTGCACCATAAATGAATAGATTGGTATCTGTTATAATTTTATACATTTGGAAGCTTCCTCAGATGCAAAATGTGAAATTAAAAGAATACAGAAATTCAAAACGGCGAATCCAATATGACGGACACGAAAATCAAGAAATCAACCTATTTTCGTGAAACCTAGTGACCTACAGTTTTTTATACGGCGAAAAATGAAGGGACGATCGACCATCTAAATGGTGATCTACAAGATATTCTTCTGAAATAGTAAGCTTGACGCTCTGAATGATAAACTTCACTCACAAATATAGTAAAGTTTCAACTCAAAAATGTCAAGCTGACTATTAGAGTTATGTCGTATAGATTCATTACCCTTCATTTCTCTCTGTATAGGTTGCTCATTTCGTATATGATTTTAGGATCCAAGTCATATTTACCAATAAACAACGAACAAACGATAAAAAAGACCAATATAAAATTCTGATATTTTTTTTGGTTATCACTACTTATAGTCTCAGTTCAAAAAGACTCGAATTTTATTCACTTAAAACACTTATAAAAAAGTCGGGCGTTAAAGGGTTAAAAATATATGTGTACGTGTATGTATCTGTGATTCTACAGATTCTACGGACGCAGATTGCTATTTTTCACGCAGAAAATCTTGCCTAGTTCTTTTGCACGACGGAACTACAGCCGGACGAAACGGATAGCCAAACAGATTCTCCTTGAATATTTCGCTGCATGAAGTTATATCTTGACAGCTCAATCGTATCTCTTCTGAGGGAAACTTACTTGTAACTCTCGGGTCGCGGACCACTGCTGTTTACCACGTAACGTGCCATCCTGTAAGTCTGACCGTTCTTCGTTACGTTCACTGTCTTCTGGTTTTGCCAGTATTCAAACTCGGTCTCGAGGAGGGCTATGTTTTTGCTCAGGAAGTCGATGTCGTGCGTAAATTCATAGTATTTTGCGACCTGCCGGACAAGAGGAGCATTTTCGTCAGAAACAAATGGACTCCGAATCTCTCTCAAGGAACTGTTCAAAGGAGCAGCATTTATTCGAAGAGAGAAACTCGTTAACAGCGGGATACCCGTGCCCGCTCGTGCCCGGGGTGGGGGGGGGGGTGTTTCGCCGGCACGAAACAAGCCTCTTATCGGCCAGATCTACATACCATAGGTATTAACAGAGGTGGTTGGCTTCTCGAGAGGTAATAAACTCTGCCGCCGTTCGGAACGAAACCGTATCTCTCCACCATCGACAGGAAATTTTCGATTATCCCCTTAGCGGTGAGGTGCATGTCGCATAACAACAGCCCCTCGATTATCCAATAGCTGTCCCAGTAATAAAACTCTGAAAGCAAGATTTTAACTCTTCGCTTCCTTGCGAAACATATTTCTTTTCCTCTTTGCTCCTTCCCCACTGCGTACTCTCGAGAGAGAACGCGAATGGTTGAAAAATATATCGAATCCGGCTCTTAAATCTAAAATTGACTTGGATTTGTGTTCATATTTATAATAGATTTTGAGAGAATTAGTACGTCACATTAATAAGTCCTCACACAAATAAATACTATACAGACAGGAAGTGCGTTTGTAGAAATATTTGATATTTGATACGTGACAGGTATTATAAAAATTCTTATAGTTGTCTGACTTCTGTAAACGTGAGCATAAGTATAAGTGAAGGAGACTTTGTCGCTGATAACAGGAGTCCATAAATATACGCAAGTTATCGCAAAACTATTAAGTATAATCTTGCAGTCAATAAATATTATATTATTTACACGAGCGTAACTTTACTTAAATGTTTGTGATCTCCTTCTGTAATTCTGAGCAAATTATACGTAGAACTCGCGAAAAATTATGCGATACGAAATATAAAATAGTCGAGCTTCAAGCTTGCTTTTTTGAAATTTGTTGAAATTCAGGTGAAAAGGTCGGGTTTCGCGAATGCTTTTAAGATTGATTAAATTTACTAAACTTTGTTAAAATTCGCTCGCGAAATAGCGACGAACATTTTTACGGATATAATTAAGCCAAATGATCATTCAATTGAGCAGATTGAAATGACCGATGGATTGAATTATCTCTAGGACGACTATTATATTGGCTTTAATAATGAAATCTCCTCCGCATAGAAGAGTACCTTTAAACCGTCCTCCGGGAATGATAAAAGTGTTATTCACGGAAATCAGGCTATGCCGCTGCGGATGCGCCGTCACGTTGCTCTTCATGTTTCTCGCCAGCTTTCTCCAAATGTTGTTCAAATTTTTCGCCCACTCACGGAAGACGGGATCGTGAATGGATTTCAAGATGGAGGGATTTTCTTTCCAGTCGGATAACGTTGCATTTTCTAGTTCATCCTCCGTAGCAAAATTCTCCCGGACGAATCTATTTATATCTGTGCGGGTTGGCTTGTTGTTGGTAGACTTCATCAAAGTGTTAAAGCTACAAAAAAATCGAATCATATTAAACGCGCATCTGCTATTTTGGCTCGGTAAATTATTTTCGATAATTTATTCAGTCGGAAAATAAAATACAAAATTTTATACGATGGCGGATAAAAGTAACAGAATATTATCTTTTAATCTCGTAATATTTTCATGCGCGCGAGGAGAGGAAATAGGTATGGTAAATTAAAGAGAGAGGACCATCGTACATACTTTCCATTCTGTTCTCTTCTATAGATCTTTTCTGTAAATTTTTATTCGAGCATCAAGTTCCTGCAAAACTTTATTCAAAAATAATGATGAAGGTTATTATATATTTCATACATACATTAATTAAATATACACAAATCCCATTTTAAATCTCGAAAAATATGGAAGATACGGAAAAATGTTTCAGATAAAAGTTATATGGTTTCAAAGAGGATATAAAACAACTATATTAGTTTGTTTATAGATGGCGCCATTTTCGAGATATTCACTGATCATTACTTTTCTTAAATGGAAATCGTAATTTTCTATCATATCATCTTTTTCTGCCAATTAATTTTAACAACTTTTGTTTGAAACATATTTTTATTTGCCTAATATTTTTTGAGATGTTTAAGAAAAGCTTGATAACTTTTTCAATATTTAACTTACGATGTCTCTCTGACTATTTATCGAAAGAAAAAATGGTAAAGTAAAAGTATCGACTTTTGGAAATTTCAAAATCATCAAATTAACAAAGGGTTAGAGCGCTTTTGTAACAATATATTCTTGAGATCAAGTAGAATAAAAAAGTCTACCACTATTACTTCTTCTTCCGACAAATAGTTAGCGAGATATCGTAAATTAAACATTGAAAAAGTTACTAAATTTTCCTTAAATATCCCAAAAAATAAAAAAATGTTTCAGACAAAAGTTAATTGATTAAATCAAATTAATTGGTAGAAAAAGGTGATATAATGAAAATTGGGATTTCCATTCAAGAAAAGGAATGATTGATGACGAGGGAATATCTCGAAAGTGGCGCCATCTGCAAACAAAATGATATAATTTTGTTTTATATCCCTCTTGAAACCATACAACTTTTGTCTGAAATATTTTTCTCTACGACTGTTTTCTGCAAAATTACGAGGGGTAATAGATTAAAATCCAACATCCTGTATATTGATTTTTGATCTTTTGCATATTTCCTCTTGTACATATGCATTAACCATTTTAAATAGGCCATTGATTCATATCACATGCGTCATTTCGAAATTTACATTTTTCAAGTGTAATAAAGTGCATTATTTGATTTTTAAGATATCGACACCGTTCAATCTAAGCTAACTTAGTTTTGTCACAAACACACTTCTCTGATGTATATGTGACTTTGCTTTTAGGAAGTAGAGGTATGTGTATTTGTGTGCTTTCAGTTGCCGTGACGCGATTAAAGCTCCTTTCACATCGGAGACCACGGAATTTGATTAGGCAACGGTGAAGGTAGCCTAAAGTGACACCCTCGTGCTTCCCTATCCAAGCCAAATGACGTGTTTACGTATCAGAAGATTGAGCGCCAGGCAGGCGCTACGCTAAATTATGGATCTTTATTTTCTCATCTTTGAATGATTCCGTTACTGCTCCCCTTGGTGATTCACTTCGTTAGCTAAACCCGAGAAAATATCATATTCTGAGACTCTCTGAGAAGGAATTATTTTTTTCGCATATATATTTTGATGATATATTCCAATGTTATTTTAAATTGCAAAGAGTATATTATATACATATACACATATACGTACACCCGAAACCGTCGAAATTATCCTGAACATTCTAAAAATAGGTTAAGGGAAGAGAGAGAAACATTTTAAAATTAATTTACCTCGCAAAAAAGCTGCTTCTCCAAACGATATATTAAAATACCACGCTATCACAAAGTTTACTTTTCGCTCCACGAGGAATGATAGCAATTCGTTTAAACGATAAAAAATTGTTGAAAACTGAGTATTTGGTGTGATACGCATCGGAAAATACCGTAAAATTTTCGCGGGGTAATATTTATTCGCTTTGTCAGAGAATATATACGTTGATGCTATTTTTTGCCACATAACTTTACTCTCAAGAGCTTGAACTTATTTCTCCCGGAGATATAAAGATTGCGTCCTAGATCATTCTTCATAAAGCGGAGAGCAAAACGTTTCACAAGTACAAAACGAAGATTACTCCGCGCAGTTGTACAAAATACGGCAATAAAACAGACTAAATACGTCGAGAGAGAGAGAGAGAGAGAGAGAGAGAGAGAGAGAGAGAGAGAGAGAAAGAGAGAGAGAGAAAGAGAAAAATAGCAATTTTACAACGAAGGTGGACTCACCCAAGCTCGTTTCACTCTTGGAAGAGGTAAGATATTACATTTTCGTAACTCAACTCTCGTCCCTGTGTATTATGAAGGATATCAACTTACTGGTCAACAGTTACATCCGGATCCTGAAGCTGGGGAAGGTCTACGAAGGTTTTGCTGTCGTTGAAAATCCCAGAACGTTGCACCATATCCAATAGCGGGCCTATGCAATAAACCTCGCTGAAAAATCATAAAAAAGCAGCGTAAGCGGAAAAGTGCAAATATATCACAAATTATGTCGCACTATAAATAATTCATTCGTTCGATACATTTTTGTGCATATACTCGTATTACGCGATATGGAATGCCCGATAAGAGAGCAACGTTAAACTGACACAATTTGTCGAACACACTCGCTACAATACAGTTATACCGTTAGCCGGTGAACATCGGCAAATTAAAAATGTCGTTGTCATTGGAAATGACAATTGGCGAGAAAACATATATTATATACGGGAAGTTTCAAATTGTTGCGTGTATCAATATTGCCGCTTTACGGATTAAACGGATAATGAGATAGTCACAGATTAATAAGATGGGAATTATTCGTATCTCAACAATGCAATTTAATGCATTGCCGAGTAATTTAGTATTCGAGTTTAAAGAACCTCGGTTAATTAAGTCCAAAGAACGTTAATGAGCGTCAAAATTTTGTTTTCCAGAGACTCGCACAGACTCTCGTCACCGTATGCGCTTCATTAGCGTGGAAATACTTGACATTTCAATGCGGTTTGTGCTTATATTTTTGCCTGGAATGCAGAAATTAAGTAAACGAGTACATTTCGAACAAAACTGTAAATTAAATATCAGCCCGAGCGATCGTGTGATAAGATGAAGATGATTAAATTTCCATGTACGATTCAATGACGAAATTGAAACGTTAACTTTTTTAACTTCATTGGAACGTTTCGAATCAGGACTTAACGCCATGGAATATTTCATTTCACCTCAAAGACGAGACAAACGGCGCTTATTTAGAAAAATGTACAACATTCTTCTTCAAAAGGAGATATAACGTTTCAAAACAATTATTTCATAACATTAAATTTCACTCGTAAGAAACTTAGCGAACAAATAAAAAAGAGAACTTTTACTCACATATTTCAAAAACTTTCTCCCAAAGGGAATTTTAATGTTAAGGGGATGAAACAAATAAGTGGCTTCTTGCAAAGTTTTCGCTAAAAAAGGAACCAAATGGAATTCGCTGTATAATCCGCAGTTAAAAAGGACATCCGCTAAATCTGGGTCGTTCTTACATTTCGTCTTTTCGTCTGCTCTTTACGAAACTTTTTCCATCAGTCGTTTTATCTTACAATATCAAATGTCGATATTTTCCAACGATGACAGGGAGATCTGTCCCGGCGACCGTGATATCTGAGTTTTGAGAGAGAGAGAGAGAGAGAGAGAGAGAGAGAGAAACGGTGATTTTAAGTGAAACTCGGACAAGCCTGTTATTTTTCCTCAACAACCATGTCGACATCGGCCACGTCGGCACGATGCGAATCTACGCTTCCGGAGATCGACGGGGCATAAAATCAAGTAAGAAAGTTGCATGCTTTGAGAGCGGAACGGGAAGCAGCTCGCAGCATCCTTCATTGCGTGATTCATTGTTTCCTAGTCAGCTCGGGACAGTCGGAGCGTGATGATGAGCGTTTTGTTTTCATTTCCAAGAAATCCCGTTGATGCACGGGGTGGAATTGCACCTCAGTTTTACGAGCTCTCCCGTTTCTTTCTTTCCTTGAAAATCCGAAACCACGAGAACCACGAGACTACAAGGAAACGCAATGAGAAACCGCGGGTTAATGAGTTCGGTCGATCTAAGACCTGAGAATCTGACATAACCGGTGACGGTGGAATGTTAATACGTTCCAAGTTTAAGAGACTCTCAAATTCCTCGATCTCTCCTAACACGGAGAGATCTCCTAACGTGGAGAGAAGCTCCTTAATATTCGGCAATCGAACAATCGAGATGCGATACGAAAGTGGAAATTTTTAAGAGAGACAAGCCGATTACTTGTATAAAACTAAAACAAAGGTGTTGACCTTTAAAGCACTAGAGAGAGAATATTTGGCGAATATTTGCCAACATTGGAATAATTTATGACATAGCGGGCCTATACATATTTATACAGAATGATTCACACCGTGAAGTTTCACGATCCGATTGTTAGATACAGCGACTAAATTCTTCTTCGCTATTTCGCAACTCGTCGGAATTTTTTATGAAACCGCGTGTCCGAGGTCTTTAGCAGAATGTGATCCTCTAATATATTTTCAATTTGTTTGAAAAAATAATATATGAATTTTTTAGTTCTTTATATTCCGATTAAAAATTAATATGCATCATGCTGCGTTCCCTAAATTACAGCGAAATACATGAAAGTACTTTAAATAAAGATAATCCGTTTTTCTTCTATGAGGTGAAACGGCAATAATATACGAATTTTTTATTTAATAAAATAATATATAAATTTTTTAGTTCTTTTGTATTTCTATTAAAAATTAATATGCATCGTACCACATTTCCTAAACTGCTTTCCAATCTATTTTCCTTTCATGAGGTGGAATAATAATCATATATAAATATATAAATGTTTTGTTTGACGAAATAATATATGAATTTTTTGGTTCTTTATATTCCTATTAAAAATTAATATGCGTTGTATTACATTTCCTAAATTACAGTGAAATACACGAAAGTACTTCAAATAAGGATAATCTATTTTCCTTTCATAATGTTGAACTGTAATAATATATGAATTTTTTTGTTTGACGAAATAATACATGAATTCTTTATATTCCTATTAAAAATTAATATGCGTCGTATTACATTTCCTAAATTATAGCGAAATATAGGAAAGTATTGTATTTCAAATAAGAATAATCCGTTTTTCTTTCATGGGGTGAAACGGTAATAATATATTGGGTGAGTGCAAAAGTTCGTGCGGAGTTTCAATAGATGGAGTTATAAGCGTCGTAAAGTGTTGTCATTAATACTTCCATCTACATATTATATAACGTTGGAAAGGTGACGTCTTCAGCTGTTATTAAAAAAAAATCATTTGTTTTCATACAAACTGCTTCGAGAAATATCACTTTAAAAATGAGTATCGATAAGGTGCATTTACGGCATGTTATGTTTTACGAGTTTCGGAAGGGAATAAACGTTGCCGCAGCCGTAAAAAACATTCAGGATGTTTATCAGGATGAAGCACCAGCTTCGAACTGTGGAAAAATGGTTTGCTAAATTTCGGCGCGGAGAATTTAACCTTGAAGACGAGCCACGCTCTGGTCGACCTTCTGACATTGATGACGATGTTTTGCGTACTTTAGTGCTCAATAATCCGCGAATTTCAACAGAAGAAGTTGCTACAGCACTAAACGTTGACCGATCAACCGCTTTTCGGCGTTTAAAAAAGATGGGATTCGATTTGAAGCTCGATATATGGGTGCCCCATTTGCTGACCGAGAAGAACAAAATCAAGCGAATTTCTTTACTCGGGCGGCTCAATAACGAGTCGTTTTTGGATCGACTAGTGACGGGCGATGAGAAATGGGTCCTCTACAACAATGTTCAGCGCAAACGGACATGGAAACAATCAGGTGAGCATGGTGACGCAATGCCAAAGGCCAGTTTGCACCCGATGAAGGTGATGCTCTCTGTTTGGTGGGATTGCAAGGGCATAATCTATTTCGAGCTTCTCCCCGCTGGCGAAACGATTGATTCGGACAAGTACTGTCGCCAATTAACCAATCTGAATCGAGAAATAAAAGAGAAACGTCCGATTTTGTCAAATCGCAAGGGAGTCGTCTTTCATCACGACAACGCCAGACCACACGTTTCGAAAAAGACGCTGCGCAAACTGAAGAGCCTGAAATGAGATGTCTTAACGCATCCACCGTATTCTCCTGATATCGCACCATCTGACTATCACTTGTTCCGGTCATTGCAAAATTATTTAAATGGAAAAAACTTTGACTCTTTGGAGGCCTTAAAAAACGGCGTCTCTTCGTTCTTCGAATCTAAACCGCGCAGTTTTTATGATCGAGGCATCCGTATGCTGCCAGAACGTTGGGAAAAGATTATAGAAAACGATGGAGAATATATCATTGATTGAATAAAGATTTTTGTTTGCCTAATCACTGTGTGACTTTTACTCACAAACTCCGCACGAACTTTTGCACTCACCCGATACAAACTTTTTTGTTTGACGAAATAATATATGAATTTTTGGTTCTTTATATTCCTATTAAAAATTAATATGCGCCGTATTACATTTTCTAAATTACAGCGAAATACAGGAAAGTATTTCAAATAAGGATAATCTATTTTCCTTTCATAATGTTGAACTGTAATAATAAATGAATTTTTTTTGTTTGACGAAATAATATATGAATTTTTTAATTCTTTATACTCCTATTAAAAATTAATATGCATCGTATTACATTTCCTAAATTACTGCGAAATACAGGAAAGTATTGTACTTCAAATAAGGATAATCCGTTTTTCTTTCATGGGGTGAAACGGTAATAATATACAAACTTTTTTGTTTAACGAAATAATATATGAATTTTTTAGTTCTTTATGTTCCTATTAAAAATTAATATGCATCGTATTACATTTTCTAAATTACAGCGAAATACAGAAAAGTATTTCAAATAAGGATAATCTGTTTTCCTTTCATGAGATGGAACAGTACGACGACGTGTCGTGTCGATGGCTGTAAGAAGAGGCAGCGATAGTAGGATCTCGACGGATTAAAGGATAGGGAGAATCGGGGGAGAAAAATCTACTGATCCGAAACTGTAAAGATACTTCCCGTGAGTGGAATGCCGATCGTTCTCGCCGTCTCAAAGGATAGAGCACGATCAATGAATATGTCACATTCCCCGACACGAGTAGATAAATAATAGAGGAGCGATTGATAAGCGACGAGGAGAGATCTCAAATATCATATGAAATTCTCGCGAGTCGGCAAGTTCCACTTTTGAATCGAGCAACTTGATATCGCTGAAAGAAGCTCGCGACTCCCTTCTCCATTAAATTTTCCTTCTCTGCTATGAACATTCAATCTTATCAAGATCGGGGGAAGGGGAGGGGGGAGTAAACGTGTGAATCTCGTTCTTTTAATCGAGTTCTTTTTTCCTACTCGTACGAAAGAGCAAATCCTCTTGAAAGCGGATTTGGAATTAAAAGCTAAATAAAATAACGCATTATTACGGCGTACAAGGGATAGCAGTTGTTAATTAGCCGCGATTTAAATAAGCCATCAGCAACGTGTTTATTTTGACTCAAAGGCAGTGGAACGAGAACTTCGGCCACTAATGATTCTCAAGCGAGGTCCATTTGTTGTAACCGATGAAATTGATGACGCGCACAGCGCACGTCCAGCAAGCCGACGCAAGCGAACGTTATCAATCAGTTCAGCAGCAGATAAGCCGTTATCGTCGCTCACTCAAATTTCCGGAATGTCTCGTTAATGATCTGCACAACTAGTACGCAGCAGCAATCGGTACGAAGCAGCAGAGCGCATGATCGTTGCGGAGAGTAATGGTAAAGCGATTGTGCATTAAAATGCACGCACGCGTGTGTTAACTTCACGTATCCGAGAGCGCGATTTTCGAACTTGCCGTCGCGACAAGCTGAAACTTCATTCCAGTGCGCGGAGATGACTCAGAATTCCTCGCATCATCGAGCTTCTTTATCAGTTCTTATCGGATATCGATTTTTCATCGCTACACTTTTCGCTTCGCGCATTGCGTCTAAAATTCATCCCCGATCCGACGTGTAGGATTTCGCGGTCCCGGAAGATCCGGGCTCCTCGAGCTCCTCGAGTATTCCCATTCAAAAGCCGTAAAATAAGATGCACATCTGTGTCGCTTTCATTTGAGAAAGAACTCGCGGCTCTTTCTTTTTCTACTCGTACGAAAGAGCAAATCCTCTTGAAAACGGAGTTGGAATTAAAAGCTAAATAAAATAACGCATTATTACGGCGTACAAGGGACAGCAGTTGTTAATTAGCCGCGATTTAAATAAGCCATCAGCAACGTGTTTATCCGTTTATTTTCATTACGAGGTTATGCTATGTTTACTGACACAATGGTTGCAGAATACTGTTGCCGCTACGCTGATACAATACGAGCAACGAATTGCCTTGGGCGAATTCAAATAGTAAGCATACCTCGAGAAGAAAGAGATTACGCAAACATCAGCCACCCATTCTAGCAGCAAGCATAGCTACCGTGCTTGCTTCATGTGTGACTCGCTGATAAAGCGAGTGTTTGTGCATCTGTGCTTTGCAATATATTTTTAATTCGATAGGACACAAATATTGCCACACACATGGGAGACATCCTGTATGCGTACGAATTTCATCGCGTCAATGACAACAGACGATTCGAAGAGACGCATCAGTGAGAGAAGTGGGCTAACATTCCTCGAGAAGTTATCTTCCACCCCGATGTGATGAATATTTCAGCGAGGAGCGTTGTTACGTCCTCGAGACAATGGCGAAAGTTTCGAACGCCTACCGTGCGGAAAGAAAAAAAAACCTGACTGTCACTGAACGACGATGGATCGTTAAAATAGTCCGAGCGACTGTACAAACTCCACTTGCGTCGAGAGATTGTTTCGCTTGTCGGGCTCCTGTTGCATTCGCATTTGTTCCGTCGCCATAAAAATGGCAAGATGACTTTCTCTCGAAGGATCATGACATTAAAGAAGAAAAGATCGCCCGTACGAGCACGGTTATTAAAAGTTGCCGCGACGGGAAAGGGAATTGTCTGAAGGGGAAGAGTTATGGAAGTCGTCTGGCCGACGGTATGCCTCATAAGTGGTCGAAATGAAAATCACCCTGTGTGTGTGTGAAAGGTGAAAGTTATTGGAAAATCAAGCACGAGCAACGAACGATTGAAGTGTTGAGAGTCAAACACGGGTCGATCATGAGACGCGGGAGAACTTCACAGACTTCATAAACTCGGCACTCCTCGGTCATGCTCATGGATGAGGAATGGAGATGACACTGTAGGACCATCGCGTTGCAGTTAAGAGGAATCGAGATGACCCAGAAACGATCATGAAGCTACACACACACACACACACACACAGAGATAATGATTCGTAAACTTGACCTTCATTGAAGTTTACGCGAGACGAGGCGCGAAGGAGACGAGAGAGCGCGCCTCTCGCGAAGCTCGCTGGTGTACTTTCACTCACCTGACGCAGAGATCCTTCGGCCCGGAGGTGGCACGGACGACATACCCGATGGAGGCCGCCTCGCTCAAGGCGATCGCGCAGGAAACAACAAAGACAACTAAGACAGCCATGCCTGCGATTCGACTGGACGCGGCTAACTCTCGAATAAAGAAGTAAGCGAACTCGAGCGTCGATCGCGCGTGCGAGCAAGTTCGTCGATCGTGAAAGCCGATCGGGTGAGCGCGCGCGCGCGCGCGCGTGATCGATGTCGCTGAAAAATCGGTCGAGTTCTTGCCCTCGGTGCGTGTCTCGGTCGTTATAACCGCGCAAACTAGCGGTTATATCTGCCTCGTGCTCGCGCGCACGCTCGTCGATAAGGCTATTCTGCGAGTGGGTGCTTTTCCCTGATTGGCCGCTGATTATCCGCATCGCAAGTGTCATGCAAATTTTGGAAGAAAAGAGCGCCACGCCGGCCACGTCACGGTGGGTCGCCGCTTACTCAGGTGAACGATAAACAGCCAATGCGCGTGAGACTGCTAACGACGAAGAAATGTAGTTCAAGGAAAGAAAACGATGCGATCGTCGCGAGAAGATAGCATCGCGCGTTGTATCGTAAAACATATGTTTGTGTTGTTGAGTCCCGAGACGCAGCACTTACGAAGACTTACGGAAGACTGTGCCCCTTAGTGGCCGCAATTAGTCCCGAATGCGCGGAAACGGTTTCATCCCGCTCGCAGAGCCCCGTTCAGTCCCAACGCTCTCTTCAGAGCGCTTCTCTTCGCTTTGGTCTCTCACTTCAAATTTGCCTCATAAATAGAGAACGGAAACTGTTTTTTTTTCTTTTTTTACAGACACTTACTCTGACTTACGTTGATTGATTGGGGGATACCGCGCCGTGTCCGAAAAAGGTCAAGCCGGTAATTTCTAAGAGATTCCAAAGTTATACGAGGTATTGAATACGCGATGTAAGCTTGACAGGTCAACCCGTATTCTTGGGAATACACACACTCATGTATCACGAAGACCGACAAGATTGAGAGGACGGAGAGCGGACGGAAGGAAAAATTAATTGGACAAGCGGGTCTTCTCGTACGAAGAGGACAGTAGATCACGATCACTGTTCCTGCCGCACGCGTCGTTATGTGGACACATATTCCCTTGTTTCAGATACAAGTCAAGGTGTACGGGACGGAAATAATACACCGCATAATATTAGAAAAAGAAGTTTGTTTTTTCAATATTATGCGGTGTATTATTTTTAGATAAGACATTTTTTAGATGGAGCTCAACAGACCTAATTGCCAACACCTTGTGTTGTGTGAGTTTAATAAAACAAATTTTATTAGTTGTCAGCCGTATTTCTTTACAAATTTCTTTACAATCTCTCTTAAGAATAGAGCGCTCGGCGCAACTTGTTGACGCAAAACGAAAGTCGCACTATGTGCAGGTATTAATCTAATCAGTAGGTGACAAGCTGAAGCCTCATAAATCCACACGACCGATAATGCTATATATAATAACCATAAGGAATAACCTGGTCGTGACAGAAGATAAGTTATTCATAAATAATGCGTGTGTGCTTCACCGTAAGCCTTATCTCTTTTAGCTTTTAGAAAGCGCTAATGTATAACCGTGTCATACGCGTATCGTGCATCCTACCACGCCGTGTAACAGCGCATATTTCTCCTTATCAGGCTGCATATCGCGCGATACAGATTTACGCGTAATATTTGCGAGATATATTTGCGCGCAAATTCCCCGTCATATCCTTCTGTAAACATTTTTTTAGACCCAGACCACACACACGCACGGTTGTACCGTGTATCAAGAAGAGATATTATTCTCGCTGTCTGTTTACGATATCAATACGATATCAAGATGTATAATAGCTTTAACATTGATCGGGAATTAATAGAATTGGCAACATTTTTCGGTTACATCCGCTGCATCTATCTGTTGCGTCATGACTGTTAGTTATTCGAGAATACGGCGAAAAAATCCAGGGGGGATATTAAATATCGTATTACTTCCCTTTTATGCAATTTTATACGTTCCACATGCGATTTTAAATATTTTATTTCATATAATTTCATATATAACAAGTATCACTTTACATATAACAAGTACAATTTTTTAATATTTATGAAGATATCCTTTATCTGATAGTTGCGGTATATCGTTGCGGCTTCCTTAAATAATTATAATGCAATTAATATGCATAGTAGACTTTGAGAGCATATTCATGGCAAGGATGAAAAAAACTCATATAAACATGGGCCCCGAAAAGCTTCTTTTCTAAAATACTTTTTATTAAGCACATTTTAGTCGCATTCTGCTCGAGAATTTCTAAATAATAATTACGCCAATAGGTGGACCCATTGCTTGATTTGCGCGATCTCCCGATTTGAACCCCTCGGATTTCTACTTATAAAGACACTTTAAGCTTTTCGTTTATGAGACTTTTATTGCTGTTGCTTTTCTTGCTGCTGCCCGAAATCGCATTACCGCTTCGTGTGACAAAATATGAAATACTCCGGGAGTTTTTGAACGCCTTCGGCAATCCATGAGACATCGACAGGAGGCATGCGTCGAAGCGGAAGGAAATCGTTTGCAATTTCTTTAGTGAAATGTTCTTACCGAAGTCTGCTGTAAAAGAGTTTATAACGCGGAGAAGAAACGTTTCTAGACGCATGTTTGTATGACCTTTTTTTCACTCCAGTGAATAGAATATGCTCTTAAAATTTGACCCATTTCTAAAACACGCTTATATACCTCGGCTCTTGTATTACCGTCCACCTCTTGGGTGCTACTGCGAATTTGGGTAGCTAAAGGATAATCAGGGATATCTGTTGCACTTTGTGTACCGCGTGTATAATGATATCAACAATAATTAATATTGTCTCCAAGACAAGTGCTATTCCATGTATTAAGCTGTCTCCTCTTGATGATGATGAAACAAGCCCACGAGATACGGGTTGATATGTTAGCTTGGAAAATAAGTTTAGCGCTGTTAGGATTAAGCAGGCCCAACGTGACGTCGGGATTAAACAATCGATATATGTGATTTTGCGGGAACCAGCGGGATCATAAATCCGATAACGGATTCCAAGGGAGATATTGACGGTGCTTCACGTAGCCCGAGGAAATTTCGGGATACTCTGGATATATTGGCCACTAATCACCGTTAAAGCGTACGCTAGCTTCCGCGAACCCTCCGAATACATTTGCTTAAAAGCTTTCAAGGAAGTAAGGCCCGGCCGTGCGTGCTCATCGCTAAAGTTATCACGTCAGAATAATGAGACGCGTGACGTAATATATATATAATGTACTCGCGGAGAACACAACAACGCATTTTACGGCCTCACTTGTTTTTACTTACACTCAATATTACGTTAATGGCTAAACGGTGTTGCTTATATCGTACAAAGATATATGATATGATAAAAAAACTCGAGCAGGGCTACATTCACAGGAGGGCTGAGTGTAAGTTCCGATGATGAAGCAGTATGACGTTTCAAACACGTAGCACAATGTTAAGAAGTGAACATTAAAGAAGTATGTGATTGACCAAAGAGAGTAATCTTAAGGTAATCGAAAGTGCTCGAGCGGGAAGCAAACAGGCTGAGAACATCTCACGTGATCGTTTTTATTATACAATATAGATGCCTTTGAAGAATTCCTTTCAGAGTATGTAGTTGTGATGTATAACAGATACGACTTTAATGACCGTGCAACATGAGACGTCCCGAATAAAAGACAAAGGAATAAAGCAATAAACCCTGACAAGAGTCAGGGAGGGAGGGAGAGAAAGGGAGAGAGAGAGAGAGAGAGAGAGAGTCAAAGGGAACAAAAAACAAACTCCCGTTGCTTCCGATGATAAAACTATTTTCGCCAATTACGGGCAATTTCTAAAATTAACGTTACCAACTCGTCGCTCGTTATTGTTGCAAGAGGGCAACATAGGAGAGCGCGGACCGGTTTATTTTTGATAACGCCAGAAAGCTCACACGGAAACGTTCGCCTTGGCTAATAATTAAAGCTGCGGTATCGACTCGTGTGAGCACAACAGCACCGCATCGGATAACTTAGTCCGATCGGATTGTTTCTCCCCTCTTTTGTAATTAGCCGGGATGTATCCGTGTGAACGAGGAATATAAACAGCTCTCGTGAACTGCGAACGAAAGGTCGAGCGTCGGGAGTGCGAAAATACCAGTATGGATAATTAACACCCGTATAGAGAACCTGCAGCGACGCTCGGTGGCCTGTAAGCGCGCAGATTCCTCTTCGTTAGCACGTCGGAATTTCTGACTGAGATTCTCCGGAACAGTGACAAAAAATTACGTCATCGTGCGTGATCGTATCGCCGCGCTTTCAAAGGTACGCCGTCACCAAGTTGCGCGAAGAGTTTCGCTCGGTGAATAAGGGACGAGGGTGAATCCGGCAACGTGGCGACGAAAGAGCGCGTCACCTCCGCGATACGTGTCCTGTTCGAGCGAATTTGTATCCGCAGGAACATCACGCGAAGCTCTCTGTTCTGCACGAAATTCGTCCTTTCACGAAATCCATCGTGATTTATGCAGCTGAGGAATCTTGTCTCTACTGTAAATACCTCCGCAGTTGCTGAAATTAAATCTAATTTAATCTCATGTGAGACCACAGCTTTGCAGCAGACAAGAGATAATAAATAGGACAGGCGGAAGACGAGCTTTAAACTAAAGCGTTTAATTAAAGGGCGCGAGCTTATTGTAATCTACGTTGTTACTGGTCACCTTCTCTATTTGCATTGCTGGAAACACACGAGATAGAGCTTTCGTCTGTGTTACCCGGTAAAATCTTACGTCTAAAACGGAGCAAATATTAAAGAAGAATGCTTGCAGTCGTTTAATCCTTTGGGTGATACATTTTTTCTACTTGACGGAATTTCTGTGAAATGTGAAAGATTTCTGTGAAATCTTGCATTTTTGTGTTTTTCGGATCTAATTAGAAATTTCCAATAAAATTTCGAAAATTCAAAATGGGATCCTATGTGACTGTTACATAGAGATAAATTAGTGTAAGTCTAAATAAATATAAATCAGATGCAACGATATAAAAGCTTTTCAAATCGTTAATCACGAATTTCGTGTCAGATTTATAAAATTCGTTCAAGTAGTTTGTTTATAAAAAAAATGTAGCGGGCGAAAAATTCTGGAAAAGATATATATAATATTATCACATGTGAAGAATATTTAATAAAATTGTCAGCCTCTAATCTGAAGTATTTTTCAAGAAATTAAAGTCTTTTAAGCACTTTTTTCAACTTATAAGTAATTAAAAATAAATAATCAGATATAAAAACCAG